TCCTCCAGTCAAAAATTCTTTCCGAATGTCAGAGGAGAAAATCTCATTTGCAGATAGAAATATGTAACTTTATATGCTCTTTCCAGCTAGCGGTACGAGAACGCTTGTTAGTATTAGGTAAGATCGGGTTTCGCTGTTCTGGCACCCCTGAAAACGCTTCAATTCAGAACTTATGGCCGAGAAAAAACCGTGGTCGAAATAATTTTTCCATGGGACGACTGGGGTTTTTTACATACCTTTAGTAGGACTGTCCATTGATACTCAAACCTTCCCGGCTTTCAGCTCATGTAATACTGGACGGACCTGTGCGGAAGTACCCACTTTTGAACTTAACTATAGTTTCATTCAGCTGATCGCCATCTAGCTACCTGTGCGGAAAGACCTGTCCGGAAGTATCCAAGCGCATATTAGAGACATTGGAGATCGTACTATTCCTATATAATTTAATTTTAATTTTAAAGACGCAAGTTAACAAAATGCGAAAGACAACAAAATACCCGTTTTATACATTTCCTCACGAATGTAAGTTCATATCTATAGTCTCTAAATAAAACTGCTAAAACACTTCTTTTTAACCCTTTCCAGCTGGATGTTGCCATTTGGCAACATTGGGTTGATATTTCCTATCGGAGTAACTTCTGTTGATTATATTCAATTTTTTAACACATTGATAATTACGCTGATACATTTGTGGGTCGATTTATGCATTTAGAAGAAAAATAAAGCCCCTCACCGAGCAGATGGAAGGGTCTATTCGTGATGCCCCTAAAAAGGGTTTGAATAGAAATAACTTCTTTTTCTTATATCTGGATATTCGATCAAAGAACCAATGGGCGGTTAATTTTTCTCTAAAGATGTATAATCCATTCCATTGTTGAGCTGAATTACTGGGTAAACTCGAACAATAAAAACTGCGCATGTTGCAACTGCGCAATTCTAGAATGTTTCAGAGCTTTCTGTAATAGTCTGTGTCAGAATATTCGAAATTGCTTCGAATCATTCTAGAATTTTCTTGAATTCTAGACCTTTTCTGAGGAAAACTGACCAATTTTGCACCAATTGGACAAAATTTTTGGAAAATTCTTCAGATATTTTTGCTTTGTCTTGCAAAAGACGAAGAGAAAAATAAACTGGGTTCTTGTAATGATATGTAGGTTATAAAAACCACAAAACATCGGATTTTCATAGAAGAAAAAAATTGACCTTTTTGAAAACTTTTTACGCCTTACGGCCGGATGTTGCCATTTGGCAACATTCAGCCATTTGGTAACAAAGAACTTTTTTGTATCAATGACTACATTTTTGTTATTTCTACGATGAGGTTACTACAAACTTACTAGAAAGATTTTTTTGCTATCTGTCGTTTCGTAGCCGGCTGGAAAGGGTTAAGGATATAACTAGAAAATTGCTTGGTTTTTAAGTAGTATCAGAAGTTTTCAGTATCATGAGATTCCTTGCTTCCAGTCACCGTTACATTATAGTATCAAGTTGTTGCTCACGAAATGAAAAAACAGGATAAAATGTATCCGCGTTCCCATTGGGAATACCGTTGTCCTGGAAACGACCATGGAAAACATGGAGAGCTTCACTTTGACATAATTCGAATATTGGAAAGATTGAACGAAATAAATAAAAATCGATAATTTAAAGTTTGTTGCACTGCACTTAGTTACTGCCCTTATATGTGAACACTCAAACTCAAAATATGTTTATCCAATGAAAATAAGGCTTTCCAGGAACAAAGGCGCGCTATGAAAAAGAAAGAGAACAACAACGAGTAAGAAAGTGGAACGTGATAGGGAGAGCGGTAGTGACCAAGCTGCGATTCTGCTGGACTATACTAGAGCACCCGCTTTTCTCTAAAGTGTTGAGACTAATGCTGTCTGACAATAATTATTGTGCTCCTTTTCTAAAGTTTTTGCGCAAAAGTTTCATGTTGATACGGATTGCTGATTTATATGCCAGAATCGAGTACAGAAGCAGAAAAGTCTGTTCTCGCATGTGTTTTCATTTAATTAACTGCTGTATATACATTGAAGAAAGCATGTTATGTTCTCTGCCTTCTTTGTTTTGCTTATGAATAGTATAAATTTCTGAGAGAATTAGATTATGCGTTTTCAAAGTCTTGAACAAAGTATATGCTTGTGTTACACGAACGTTTATATAGTCAAGGTTTTGAGCTATTATTGTCAGATTTAAGATACATGCTAGAAGACAATTTGTTTTTCAAGAAGTGCCCTGCAATCGGGTCCGAACAGTCGAACACTTGTACCGATGTTATTTTTGTTATAAGCGAAGAATAGATTTTTCACTTTCTAAACTATTTTTTCAGGTCTATATTTCGAGCAAATATTGTTTATTTTTCTGAAATGGTGGAATTTATTCTTATTTTTGAAATGTATATAGTTTATTTGCTGTGTTTTTTCTGATTACGTCTGATGAAAAAGAAAAATGAAAGATAAACCTTTTTTCATTGATAGAACTTGAATACTATTGTGATATTTGACCATGAAGGATCTTAGCTTGTAGACAATAATGGCTCACAATTTTATTCGTATTTCTAAAATATAAAACGCAGTTTCAAGAAAAGATTTCTACATTTGACTGATGAGATACAACGATAGATGGAAATAATATATTCTCATGGTCTTGTGCAATTCACTTCTCAGTTCGAGAACATTGTAAAGTTTATTTTAATTTCAGATATTGTCAAAAAGGCAAAATGGATATTGCTGCTAATGTTCCACAACATCCTCGAGTTCGAGATGTACTTGCTGATCAATGTCAACGATTATTTTTTGAATATCTTGAAAGGTGTGCATTTTTTGTCCTCCTACAGAAGTTTATCCTATATTGGTTTTGTTCTAGTTTTGGTCCAGATGAAAAAAAAGCAATGGTCGATGAGTTATGTCAGCCACAACGTTCAACACTACTGATTAATTATCGGCACCTTGGAAATTATAATGAGCGCTTAGCACGTGTTATACAAGACGAATATTATAGGTAAGCTAATTCTTAGTACAAGTAAAGATAGATTTTCATGTTTTATAATCTTGTAGATTATTACCAGCTCTATGTCGTGGATTAAAACAATTTTTTCGTGAACATTTACCAAAATTAGATGCAGAAACGGAAAAATTGGAAAGATTTAAACGAATGGTTCTTGGTGATAAAGAGTTGTTTATTGCATTTAGTGATGTATCAATGCGTTACAAGTATGTTTTCACCTTTTACAGCACACTGAAATGCAGTGAATACTATTATTTAGGCTTCGCCAATTGAATACATCTAAATTAGGTATGCTTATTCGTATTACGGGTCAAGTCATTCGTACTTATCCTGTTCATCCAGAATTAGTCTATGGTACATTTATTTGTACTGACTGTCAAATGGTTTGTCCAGATATTGAGCAACAGTTTCGTTTTACTCAGCCGATTATGTGTCGTAATCCTGTGTGTAATAATCGAACAAAATTTATGTTAGATTTAACACGTTCAAAATTTGTCGATTTTCAAAAAGTTCGTATACAAGAAAGTCAAAATGAATTGCCACATGGTAATATACCACGATGTTTGGATATTATAATGAGAAATGAATGTGTTGAACATGCAAAACCAGGTGATCGTTGCGACTTTATTGGCACACTCATTGTTTTGCCCGATGTTAGTCAACTATCGATACCGGGAGCACATACTGAAAGTGCAGCGCGTACGCATGCAACAGATGGTTATAGTGCTGAAGGTGTACGAGGCCTAAAGGCATTGGGTGTGCGAGATTTAACCTACCATCTAGCATTCTTAGCATGTCATATAAGTCCAGCTGAACAAACAAGTGTCGATTTAATACTAAATGATGAGGGTAAAAAACGACGTTTAGAAGAAATGATGTGTGATAGAAATTTATTTCATAATATACGTACAAGTTTGTTTCCAACAATTTATGGTAATGATGAAATAAAATCAGGAATATTATTAATGTTATTTGGTGGTGTACCGAAACGTACAATGGAACGAACAACATTGCGTGGTGATATTAATATTTGTATTGTGGGTGATCCATCTACAGCTAAATCTCAGTTTCTAAAGTACATAATTGCTTCTTGTGTGAAAACTTTATCTATTTCAAATAGCTTTATTTAGACAAGTTTCTGAATTTGCACCACGAGCTGTTTATACAAGTGGTAAAGCATCAACAGCTGCTGGTTTAACCGCGGCTGTTGTGAAAGATGAAGAATCATTTGAATTTGTGATCGAAGCTGGTGCATTAATGTTAGCAGATAATGTACGTTTACTTCAACCAAAACCCTTGATACTCTTATTATTTGTATTATTCCTCTTTTAGGGTATCTGTTGTATTGACGAATTTGATAAAATGGTAAGGCTAAAACATCTTTAAGTCTCATTCGCATTATGAAACTTTCGTTTTCTGCGTTTGATTAGGATCCGAAAGATCAAGTCGCTATTCACGAAGCTATGGAACAACAAACGATCAGCATAACAAAAGCCGGAATTAAGGTATGTTATCGCTCAGTGTGCATCTGAATATTCTTCCAAATAACTTAAAAGTATGGATCTTTTTTAGGCTACTTTGAATGCTCGTACTTCGATACTAGCTGCTGCTAATCCAGTTGCTGGTCGTTATGATAAATCTCGTTCGTTACGTCACAATGTAAACATGTCACCACCGATTATGTCTCGTTTTGATTTATTTTTTATTGTTATTGATGAATGTAACGATGTAACAGATTATAATATAGCCGAACGAATTATTGATCTACACTCAAATAAGCAATCACAATTACACCAAGCACTAACTTCATCTGCTGATCGTACCGTTTATACATTTCAAGAAATCCGTGATTATATAACACATTCGAAAACATTTCAACCAAAATTAACGATTAAAGCGAAAGAACATATTATTCAACAATATAAACAATTACGTTTACGAGAAACAAGTAGTGGTGGCGGTAGCAGTGGTCATCGTTCACATTCATCATCTTCAACACCGATTACTGTACGACAATTAGAAAGTTTAATTCGTCTCTCGGAAGCAATAGCAAAAATGTATTGTCAAGAATATATTGAAGTTAAACATGTACAAGAAGCCTACCGTTTGTTAAGTAAGGCAATTATACACGTTGATCAACCAGATATTGATTTAAATGAATATAATGATTATCAACAACCACCAATAACCAACGATCAGGATGGAGAACAACAACAAAATGGTATTGAAGAAGACGATGAAGAGGAACAACGACAGCAAGATGATGCAAAAATTAGCGTGGACGAATATAAACGTCTTAGTAATATGATGGTTTATCAATTGAGAAAATTGGATGAAGAACAAGGACAACAACAACAACAACAGCCAATGCCAGGTGTGAAACGTCGTGAATTAACTGATTGGATTCTTGAACAATTGGCACCAGAAATTGGTAGTGTTGATGAATTAACGAAAAAAAAGAATTTAATTGATAAAATAATTAATCGACTAATACATGTTGACGAGATATTGATACAATTAGATAAACGTACGGTGAGTGAATTTGCTGGAAGCAGTGCCGATGAACAACAACAATCAATGGATGTAGATGGGACAGAAGATGAGGATGATGAAGAAGGAAATAATTTCTTTCTACTGGTTCATCCAAATTATGTACCAGATGATCAATAATTGATGATGACATTTTGTGCAATGCAGAGTATTTTTTTTTTGGTAATTGTACATAAACACATTACTGTGTGTATTTTTCTACAAATATATTTTTTATGAATATTCAATGTCGTATTTTTTCTTTCATTCTTTGTTTAGAAATTAGATTAAGAGAATAAATTTGAAATAATTTTTTACGAGGAAGAGCATCATAGCGGTTATTGTTCTATTATTTCACCTGATACCTGTTAACCAGTACAAATAAAGTTATTAAACATTTATTTTCTACTTGTTACTATTTATTTATATAAAACTCCAATTAGTCAAAATTAGGTACAAAAGTTTTTCCCGCTGAAAAATATAAGCGAATATAATAGCGCACTTTTATGAAGAGAACTCAAAATATCTCAGTAAAACGTAAAACAGTTAAAAGTATTGAAATAATTGGAATACACGTTATGAGTCTGATTTTGTCGCCAGACCTTTAAAAAACACACTACTATTATCGATAGTAGTAATCTGAGTTTGTTTACAAATTTTTGAATAATTATTTTTATATTTAAGCAAAGCTGAAGAAAGTGAGCAGCAAATAAAGCATTTGTAAAAACATGATTGTAATTTATTAACAAAATTAGTCAATTTTGGCTTATGTAAGGTAAATTTCTTTATCAAATTGAATGATGCCTATAAAAATGTTCCTTCTTAAAATGTTTTGACCTTCATTTTTTGCTTTCTTCACTTGGTCTATATCGTCTGCAGACAAAGTATAGTCATGCGATTTGAGAAAAAAACACTGAAAATTGATCTGATTAATAAGATGGGAAGAATTCATTTTTTAATTCTGGTGTATCATCTAATGCAGTCTAAACCAGACGATAATTCAAGCAAATATAGAATATCGGTAATGGATGAAAGCAATATATGAAACAAAACATTTATTCCTCTAAACAAGTAACTGATCATTATAAGCTTATTTATCAGTTGAATGGATGTGGTAAAACATTGAGAAGGTGAGTGATTTGTTCCGTATGCAAGCGAAAGTGCCCATCAATTGTCCATGGGTGGCATCGTTTTCATCAATAATTTAGAATAGTGAAGTATGACACATCAGTTGTCATTATTATAAAGAAAAGCCATTCATTTTAGTGTATGATTTCAATAATGATCTCAAGAAAAACACTGTGAAGTTTGTTATTATCATTTGTTCATAAAAATGTTTATCAGTTTTATTAGTATGCACTATACGCTTTAACATTTGGGATTACATTTCACATCAACACACTTTTTATCAACCTGAATATAACATATGAGATACATATACGCGTCATCTCATGTGTTCCATTTTGGACAGTAACGCATTATTTGAGCTTCAACTTCAACTCTTACCGTGTGATTTTGATTGGTTCAATCAACTGCTAATAAAAAGAACAAGTAGCTCCATTGGTCATAGACAGAAGTAGGACTACATATGTTGGGAGGTTCTTGTAATCGAGTGCTGCGCGCTTTTTTCAAAAGAGACATTTTTTATCGGCTTGCAGATTAATGTTCATTATGTTTTATATATTTATTATAAAATGTAAGAAAATACGCGAAGTAGTTATCGGACATAAAAGAATGAACAAATTCTCGAATCAATTGACATGCTCTTCCATTCTCTGAAGTCCGAAGTAAGCATCGCTAACATTTATCGAAAATATTTTTTTGGGATTTTAGAAAATTTTTTCCATTTGTGTTGATTATCATGACCAGGAAGCATTAAATAGATAGAAGAGAAAAAAGGAAAAAATGCATTCATGTGATGGAAAATTGAATGTAAGCTGCACATCTTTTCCTATATAATTTTATTTTATTGATTATTTTGACATATTTTAGGATATTGGTCAGATAGTATCAGAGTTTAGTGATAACGCAAATATCAGTCCATTGTCAATATTTACCACTGTTCCAAATAGTTCTATTCTATCATCGAGAACTAATGTATCTCGTCTACCTAGTCTCACAATACCCAGTCAGGTAAAACTCTGTGGTCTTATTTTTATACTTTATCTGTTCAGGTTGTCTTAGGTTTACAGTTAACTATCGATAATAACAATAATATTCACCACCAGCAACAGCAATATCATCATTATAATAATAACAATCATAGAACTTCTAAATTTGCTCTTGTACCATCAGTTGGTACAAACGGTTCAAGTACGTTTGTTATCTGACCAGTTCAAAACTTCCATCATTTTCTTGTATTTATATAGGTTTTTTCATTATGATGGCAACAGGTGATGATTGCTTGCTAACTAACTTCAGTCTTTCTAACAATTTCTTTCTTTTCAGAAGATGTATCCTCGTTATCGGAACAATTGACAGATAACCAATTTTCCACACCACAACAACAAGAAGAAGTACAACATGTTGGACAAGAAAAACGACGCGCTACACATAATGAAGGTACGTTCATAAAAACTTAATAATTATCCGGTTGTATTGCGTGTTTTTCTAGTGGAAAGACGACGAAGAGATAGAATAAATCAGTATATTCAACAATTAATTAAACTAATACCAGATTGTAGTGCGTATGTTAAAAGTCAGGTGTGTGTTTTGGACTTCATTTATAGACAGTTGATATAATTGCATAATCGTGTTAATAAAGCAATCAGTGCTGTATTCTGTCGTCATTATCAACATTGTTTCTTCAAATTTTTACGTAATATCATCGCACTTCTGCTTATAATCACACGAGTAGTTAGTTCATATGAAAAGTTATTTATCTGCTGTTTTCTGTTTGTAGAGTAATGTTCTTGAAAAAACAATACAATATATTCATGAATTATGTACAGCCAATCAGACCTTAGCCAAACAAGGTCTGGATGCTGATCGAAGCTTACAAGAAAATGATTCATTAAAAGAGAGAGTAAGTTGACGTTATTTTGCAGCGTAAAAGATTTTAATTCGCACACAAAAAAATAGATCCAACTTATTTGTAAGAATACACTTTCGGTATCTTTGACCATAACGGGCGTCCCAAAATAAATGACGGTCTCACTATTTCGTTAATATCTGAATCAATTATCATTGTCAAGGCTTCAACTATTCTTTTAAAGATTTGCTGTTTCATTCTCTACAAAAAACATATTGAACATTTTTTTATATACCGTAGAAATAAAAGAATATAGGTGAAATACTGCGAAGCTTCAATTTCCATGACTTTCAAATCCTGAAAGACAGTGTTTCAATTCCAGTTCTTTGTATTCTGCGATACAGAATAGAGAAGATGACCGTTTTGTGGCCCTTGAAAAGCTCTATCAATCGGCTATGTTTAAAACTCTTCATAATCGCTATTCGTTGCAGGCGATATTTTTGCTTATATTGACTTTATCAAAAATGGCCGTTTTCAAACTGCAGTTTTGGTGGCATTTCAAAATTTTTTAAAAATCAACCAAAATCAAGTATTTTCAGGTCTCGCTTGTCTTATCTTAAAGCAGAGTAATTCTTCTCTTACATCTAAACAGAGAAAGTTTGATAGCTGAAGAAATAGTTGAAGCCTTGATAATGACAACTGATCAAGATATTAACGAAATACTGAGACCGCCATTTATTCTGGGACATCCGTTAGATGCAATGAAACACACACGATTCCGGTGGCCATTGGACTGGAGAGAATTAAAGTTGTAAAAAAAAGAAAGAAACAATACACTAAACTCATTTTTCTTTTTTTAACATTACGATTGGTGAAATCCAATAGGTATTTATATTCTTCTTTTAGATTCGTTTACTTGAAGATGAAAATGATATATTAAAATCATTATTAACAGAACAAAGTCATTTATGTGAACATACTGAATCAAATATGCGATTATAATTTTTGTTTTGGATGTTATTGTTTGCAGTTTTTTGGCGAAATAACCGTCGATTGTTGCTTTTTTCTCTCTTCCTTTTTTGTAAATACCACTTCTCTTTCTATTAGCTTAATTGATTTGTTTTGCTAAAACTATCAGTCCTAATCTTTTCTGAAACGAATGAAATTGTTTCTCAAATTGGTCATACTACATTGTACTTAGACAGTTAGTATGGCTAATTGTGTTTTCTTCGGGTCTTCCTCGATGCGTTTAAACATTTTATTGCCAGTTTCCTAGTGTATGTAAGAGAGATATTTAGCAAGATGAAGCATTCATGCATGGTTCAAGCAAATTTTTAAGACATGCATATTTTTGTGAACAGTATGTTCCACTCTTAGTTTCATAAATTGAGATCACGATGGCAACAATGAGATATACTTATAAAAATTGATATCTGATTTTGTTTTCTGTTGGCACAATACACCGTGATTTATCTACTGGATGGGTCGGATGAACGGCGCCCTACCATTTTTTCGTTTTTGCCGTGCTGGAAATTAATGACCGATAAGTGAAAGCAGTTCTCGTTTGGTACATTAGCGCTTAGTTGCAAACTTCTCAACGGTCTCAATGACGCGTAAGCATTTGTACTCAGGCAGTGTTGCTTGCACAACATCAGTGTTCAACAAAACCCCGAGATATTCCAGTTCGGTATCGGGTCCTAAACATTTGGCTTCAGATAATGGCACGTTAAGACGCTTTATTATGATTCACAATGTTGACCTAGTTGCTTTCCTTCGATAATTATTCTATTCGCTGCCTGCTTCACTATTTCAGCATTAGAAAGTTTCTTGTCTTTCTTCCACTGAAAGAAAAGTATAAGAGTCTTTGCCGTAGTCATCGTTGAACGTTTTACTCAATGGTGGTGGAAAAAAAAATCTTGTTTCTCTTAAACCATGATTTTCATTTCTACCAATTAGAACCCGCTTTATTTGCCGTTGTTTATTTGGATCCGACTTACTGATTTGACGGGAACCGTTCCAGGTCGTTCAAAACGGCCAAGTTAGCGGCGTGTTAACGACCCGTTCAGTCTACGTTAACGGACCGTTTTTACACAGTTAACTGGGACCGTATTACGGCCCATTTTTACACCGTTTACGGGCCGTTTTTAAAGAAACAAACTGCTTCGAACTGCGACCTAATGACGTTTTCTGCTCGAGCGCACACCCGAAGAAAGGCATGCCTAATCGATCTCTAGCTTTGTAGACAGCTTTTAGCTCATTACGCTTGATTCTACCTACCATGTTTTACTCGGACTTTTCTTCGAGAGCATGGTAAAATGAATTTTTGATGTTTTTGTCAGCCAGATGATGCTTCCATATGCCATAAGCCCTATCTGAAAAGGAAAAGTCAATATTAATACAAAGTCAGAGAAAGTACACAGCAATTTCGGCCCGCTGTTCTTCTACTGTACATTAACATCTAGTCCGTAGTCATACTGTGGAACTATCTGATTTTCTATAAGCTTTGGAGTTTACTTTTCAGAAACATTTGCTCAGGTAAATTAAGTCCTACTTCGCTGTATTTCATAATTCTGATTCGATCATATGATTGGAAATGATCTTAAATTAAATATGAGAAAGACTGATGCCTTTTACTTCATTCAATTATGAGTTTTACCAATAAGGTTACGTTTGCCGCATGTGAAGCATCGAGCATTCACGCTTGAACTTTCAGAGAGTGTGTATCCGTGGATATTATCGCTCGAACCAGTTCGTTGCTAGAACCATTCCAGCATCCTGTGAATGAGGCGGAATGGCTGAGCCCCAATCCTCTGTGCATCAAACAGAACCGAACCGATCTTTGCTACACCCTGAAAGTCACTAATGGCAAAGCGATCTTACACCAAGCTACTCACATTTGTGAAGACATTAGTCTTTGAGGTATTTTCTCACTCGTGTACATTTTTATTTTGAGATCTCGTACAATCACTGTATTTAACTAAATCTATACAAAAGGAGATATCTTAGATTTTATGCATTATCTGAGAAAGATAAAGAGGTGTCGTAATATGACCCAAGAAGAATACAGTTCAACTCTGTCTCTAAGGAAAAGTTGAAAGATTTTATTTATCTTAATTCGCTCTCTCTCTCAGAAATGATGTGTGCTTACTTTGTAAAATTTTTTTGGAATAATTCTTTTGAAAAAAAAGCAAAAACACATAATTTGCAAAGAAAAACGATGAAAAATAGTTTCGCACTCTGGAAAGAAAAGATGAAATCGTATGTGTTTATAAAGAGAAAGGCTCTAGTCCAGTTTTTATGACGTTAACGGGCCGTTTTTATGATGACCGTTAATGTACTGTTTACACGCCGTTAACGGACCATTCTGTTTAGCCTGGGTTAGGGTTACTGCGTTTCTGAGATTCCCAGACTGGACCTGAATGACATAGGCATGTCCTCGGGGAAATCAAACCTCGTCAAGTCAACCTCGTCAGAACGATGATACGTGGAGATCTGGGACCTCAGTTTTTAATTCATTGTTTCTTTTAATCTGAACATTTCTTTTCTAATTTTTTCCAATGCATTTTTTGGACATACAATTTTCTATGTTCTTATTTTCAATCCCATAAATTATGCTAACAATAAATCAGCTTTAATTTCACTCAAACCATTTTCTAGATTAAGTAATTCTTGCTTGTACTCGAATCCTAAAAATTGTAAAAGTTCAACACCTTTTTGAGATTTCTTGCGAAAATAGAAAAAGCATTCTTTGTTAATTTTCATGTTTTATGATTTATTTGATTATTGTCCATAAGTTTTTCTAAATCTTAAGTGATTTTTCATATCCATTTGAACAAAACTATTTGTACAGGAGAATTTTCTGGAAGAGCATTGCGATCCATACAAAAGATATTTTCCGGATAACATGTTTTGGAATCAAAAAGCTTTAGTATTTTTTCAGAATGCATCTTTATGTCAATATTTTTAATTGTCCACTTCTATATTCAATGTGCAATCTTTAATTTTCGAGTAGGCAAACGTTTCCTCCTTTGATTTTCAATATCGTTAACATAGAAATGAATTTTGGAAGCATTAAAAACATTTTTTTCTTTTGAAATCTTTTCAAAATTTTCTGTGAAATTTAGTTTGGATTCTGGAATAATTGTATCCTTTACGGTAAATTTTAACGAGCTATCATCGAAGTACTACTTTTAAACTCTGGCGAAATATTACAATTAAGATTCGTGAGATGATGATATGGGGTGATGGGGAGGGGGGTCGATCAAGTCCAGCTCAAATTGGAAATCGAAAGGGATGTGAACGACCAAAAAACGTGAAAGCGGCTTTATCAACAGACGAAACAGTTATTCAAGTTGATCTGCACAGTTAGGATTCTTTTTGTGTATGATTTCTACTCAATAAAACACAAATGTGTTAAAGGTGTTCAGTGTAAAACTTATAAAAGTGAAAGAGGCAGTTAGTCGATGATCTCAACGTTTTACCTACGTCTTGGGCTCCTCCCTCGAAAACTACACATCAGTTCTTCGAGATCTTGTTAGCCCGCACACTACTCGGCTAGTGCTACAAAACGCGCACGGTATTGACTTTGGCCAGGTAGTTTTTCTTCTGGCGGTTTTCTAGAAATTCCGTAAAAATCCTATCATCTGCTTAAGGTCATGAACGGGAAAAAATACTAAATTAGCCATAAAATGACATGCTGAATCTGAATTTCAGGTTATTTTGGATTCAGTATTTATGAGCAACTAAGGATTTGACGAAATTCTAGAAAACCGCCACAAGAAAAACTACCTGGCCAAAGTCAATACCTTGCGCCTTTTGTAGCACTAGTCGAGTAGTGTGCGGGCTAACAAGATCTCGAAGAACTGATGTGTAGTTGTAGAGGGAGGAGCCCAAGACGGGCCAAAGTACGTCTCCAGGCTACGCTTACCATGAAGAAGTAAAAAGCGCTAGAGACTTGATTGTGCATCATACGAACAAACTTGGAAGTCGCTTTCATTTGAATATAAACAAAGTTATGTTTTGTTAGATTTTGAGCTCGTCCAACACGCTATAAAACGAGTGATATCTGCTAATGCAGATAAGGTCCTCCAGTCAAAAATTCTTTCCGAATGTCAGAGGAGAAAATCTCATTTGCAGATAGAAATATGTAACTTTATATGCTCTTTCCAGCTAGCGGTACGAGAACGCTTGTTAGTATTAGGTAAGATCGGATTTCGCTGTTCTGGTACCCCTGAAAACGCTTCAATTCAGAACTTATGGCCGAGAAAAACCGTGCTCGGAATAATTTTTCCATGGGGCGACTGGAGGTTTTTACATACCTTTAGTAGGACTATCGATTGCATATAGTCAAACCTTCCCGGCTTTAAGTCATTAAGCCAGGCTACGCAATAAAGTGGGCGGACCTGTATGGAAGTACCCAAATACGTTAAAGAAGCGATTTAGAATCTCAGAGTCGAGGAACTAAGTCTTTCCTTTCCTTACGAGACTAATCGGGATCAATTGTACTGTTGACAAAAGAATAAGCATTTCAGCATCAGCTGTGTAAGAGAAATAAAAAAAGTTAGTTTATGTTCAGATCAATAGTGTTACAAATATTTTATTTTTTAAACTCCTGGCTTTTCTGTGCTTCTTTTATTGAAATTTTTAATACAGGAGCTCAATTATACCATTTTTCCGAGATCATTTGGCATTTAAAACTAAAATAAAGAGTGTAGTGCTGCTACGAAGAACATTTTAGATTAATTAAAATCCACTTGAACTGTTTATTGTAAGATGAGTGCTTTCGCCATCGTCGAGAAACAGTATGAGAAGGAAAAGAAAACTTAGTACTATTATATACCTACCCAGTAATAGTAGATCTGACTGAAAACAGGAAAAGAGAGTGATAACTTGGACAAAAAGAAATGTATATACGAGTATATATGGTCACAAGTTTGGAACAACAACTTATAGCAAACCAGCAAAATTCAAATTTCTGTTTATTATATTAAAATAATCAGTGTTCGAAATATAATTTTGGTCGTATAAAATCTCTCGTTATTCGTATTTTATTGAGATTAAAGACAGTAAAAATCCCGGGAAAAAGATGCAATGCATGATATCACCTTGTACTGTGTGTAAATATGGGTTGTACTTACTCTGACAGTTATGTAGTGTACGTACTTCACTTCGGATTTAGTTGAACTATTTAACAGTAAAGTAGAATATGGATAGAAATCATCTTATGAACCACTGAAGAAGATTTATCCGAATTTTCAAAGCTCAGAATGTTTGTATAAAGCACGAACCCGTCAGAGAAAAAATCTATATAGACTCGCTGGAATATCACCCGATTCTCCAGCAAAAGTATCTAGATAAAAGAGTAAGAAATATTTGATTAGCTAGATAAATCGGGTGTGAATAGATTACATGTTGCACAAAAATAGGCTAATTATTCAGAATTTCACAAGAAGTCTTTTACGTGAAAAACTATTTTCTCCGTAAAATAAGTGTTTTTTAATTAAAACAAACAGCACTTACGGAATTAGCGCATGAGACTGTATAAAAAGTAAAATGGGATAAGTCATTTCAAAGTTGAAAAGATAATAGAACATTTCACATTCGGGAGCAGTTGAAATTGAAGCAAATTGAAAATTAAAATTTGAAAAACTGCTAAAAAGGTTTTTTTAAATTAACTCTTCTGTATAACAGGTTTCCTCTTCGATCGAGACTGTATAAGAAGTAAAATGAATTACCTCATTTCAAAGTTGAAAAGATAATAGAGTATTTCTTAGAGTATTTGAGTATTAGAGTATTTCACATTCGAGAAAATAAGAGTAGAATACAAGTGAAAATCAATATTATCTGATTATTGTATTTGCATTGGTATAATTGTAAGCAGTTAAGTGTTAATGTTGGATACAACGAGCATGATCGAAATAAATTTTGAACATTCTGGACAAGATTAAACCATTTGTGATAAGTTGAATTTAAAATAAATTTATTGACATCAATGCACCTTCGTCTGTCATTCATAATCATAGGTAATAAGAATTTATTCGTCGTAACAAAGAAAATATGGTTTCCTGTTTGTAATTTCTTGTGTTGTGTTGTATAAGAAATATTGTTCATCGAAACCATGCGAATAATCAATCTTTCCTAGAGAGAACAACAAATTTTGTTCCATGTGTCTTTGTTAATTTGCAGCTATACAAACTAAAACCTGGTAGCGATACAAACCGGAAGAAAGCGGAAAAAAGTGGATTAAAAGCTTGTAATATATCGCAATAAGTGACGAAAGACAACAACGATTTTCTTCTGTATATATTTTTTTTATTCATTCAGTATGGCGGCAGAGTACAGTACAGAGAGACAGTAGATCTTCATGTATTTTAGTACTGGTAATAGAATACTTTTGAAGCGTGTAACACCTTTCAGTCTCATTTTAAAGGTCAATCAGCAAACATTAACTAATTCCTTCATTTTTTTTCTTAAAACTATGTATAATTTTTGGACCAGGAAAGGGTGTCATCAAACTTTGACGATCACCTGATAATATAGTCTAGTTTATACCAGTAAAAGGAAGTTGTATAAAAATATTCGTCCTCACCACCGGTTAAAATTCATATGCGTTGTTATTCATTTCCACACATCAGTCTCAAAAGTATTGAAGTATTTTCTAACATGGCGTTGTTTCGCTTTCGACTTGTATTTTTATTATGCCATTTACTGCTTATATATTTTCAAATTGAATTTGATTTTCTACGAAACTTCAGTTCAATCTGTTTATTTCTACGATTTGTCAAATGAGCAACAGGAGTTCTGACTTTCTTGTTTTTTGTGCTTCTCTGTCCTCTTTTAAACTTCAAACTTCTTGGTGAAAGGATGTCCTTGGTATCTTTGTTCTTTTCTACTGCTAATATCTATGCTTTTTGGAAGCAAAGCCTTGAATATACAGGATTTTTTTGTCCACGAACATGTGTATCTAATGTAAAATTTGTGAGATGAAAAATTTGTGAAACAAAACATCTCAGCAGAGATCCGATTTAAATTTTTATATGCGTATACTCCCAATATTTTTCTTTTGAAAACTTAAGACTGCAGCTCGCCATCTCTTTTCCGTGGAAATTATTAAAAAAGAATGAAGTGCATTATATTTTGAAAATCAAAAGTCTTGAAAATCGACTCGACTTTTAACAAAGTAGAATATAAACAGTTTAAACATTCTTATAAAGTCGTGCACAGATTCGAACTTTGTATCTGGAGATCATTATAGTCTTCTATATACACCATTGTACCACACCAGCTTTAAACTGGAGGCTTTCTCGAGATCCTTTAGAGACGTCGTGCATGCGCTCATCGAATGTGCGCTATAGTTAATTACGTGGGGGCGCCAGCTACGTGTCTTTTTTTCGCTTTTTCCACGTTTTACCCATAGGTACTTTATTCCCTTCACTGGAAGTATGAGATAAAAGTCGGCGTCTACATAACAACATAATATTAGACCCAGCAAAATTTTAGCTGGTTGCCATTGTCCCATTTTTTCAAGCAAAATCTTGTTAACAATTTAGAAGTTTTAAGACCCTTTCTGTAGTTAAGGGGGAAAATGCATATTCGTTGTCTGCCATATTGCGCTCTTATCACTCGTCCTGAGATCTAGTGTCATCTAGACACCCGCATCCAAAATTAGGATTCTTGTAAAGTGATTAAATTGGGAATGAAAATAGAAAAATCCACTTTTTGCCTTTTCATTAACGCAAAATATCTTCTTTATAATGCATCGAGGTTCGACCAATAATGATAATGGAAGAACAATCCATAAATTATTCGTCTTCAGTTCACAGAAATTCCACAGATTGTAGTATCGGGCATCTGTAAATGGATTTACTTGGCAATCATAAACAGAATGCTAATCATATTATCATTTTTATTGTTCTGATACAGAAGACAATTTGGAACATTTCGTTTGTAAACTGTTTGCCAACATATTTAGTCAGTTCATGGCAGGAACTCAACGTTGGCGCAGGCACTTTTCCTAGAATGAAAATACCCAAAATGACTCCTCATTTTAACCGTTTAATAGAAAATTTCTATATAAGTTTTGCTATAGTGATCTTTTTGCAGCATATTGTACATAGTTGGACTATTTCCATGTATGATTAACCAACAAATACTCTTAACGTTTGAAGACGATTTGATGCAAATAAGTTGGTTGATGATGTTCTTAATATGCATGATAATTACTGCTCGTCCGTCTATTCACAAAAACTTCAGTTGATTCTGGTTTGCTTTGTTTTAGAATTTAGTAACTACAAAACAGTAGATTATATTCAGTATGACAGACGTTAAAAAAGCACCATCAGCACAAAAGAAGGTTGCTGCAGCAACAGCGAAAAAAGCAGCTACTGGATCGACGACGAGTCCGGCAGTACCCGTCACAACATCAGCACCAGCGCCAAAAAGCGAAGTAAGCACAGACTCACTGTAAGTTGCTTTGCTTATTCTATTTCACTTCTACTAATAGCAAAAGAAAGCACCAACATCGAAACCTTCGTCGAAAGGAAAAACATCACAATTAGCTAAAACATCGACAAAGGTAACAAAAAAGACAACACAACAAAAAGGTGGAAGTAAAAAAAAGAGTAAAGCAATCAAATATCATATTGATTGTACCCATCCGGTGGAAGATGGTATATTTGATATGAATGCTTTTGTAAGTACTAACGTTTTTACATTTAAAACATTTCATTTGTCATTGTGAACGGCTTTTCCTCATTTTGTTTAGGAACGTTTTTTACAAGAAAAAATGAAAATTAATGGCAAAACATCAAATCTACAAGGTTTAGTTACGATCGAAAAAGCAAAAGCAAAAGTGTCTGTTACATCAGAAATTCCATTATCGAAGAGGTAAACTCTATTTTATCAAGCGAATCGACTAAAGGTGTCTCGTTTGACCGAGAATTATCTCATTAGATTTGAATCTATCATGGCTGTCTACAAATATTCTCACCTCGTTAAGTGATGTTGTTTTACTTGCGTTTCACCATTGGGATTAAAATCTGAAAGCAAATGTCTTTAATGAATTATAGTTTACTTTTCGTATGAGTCTTGCTTAACCCCTTCAGTTAGTGAAGTCAAAAAAAGCACGAAAGAGGAACACGGTTGTGTAACAGTAGCGAATTAATATATTTGCCTTGAAAGAAATTTATTTTTCTGCAATCTTCTGACCAAATTAAAAAGAACAGCGTTAAGAAATGGGTGAACCTTCTGGAGAAAGAATGTTTGTGTTCAACAAGTTGTTTTAGCGTCTAATATGTCTTCAGAAGTGTAAATTTAGCAATTCGTTTAGTACAATTTGATCATTTCACTTCTCATTTGTTTAGATACATGAAATATTTGACAAAAAAGTTTTTAAAAAAACATGAATTACGTGATTGGCTTCGTGTTATTGCCAACTCAAAAGATGCCTATGAATTACGTTACTTCAATATCAATCAAGAAGAAAACGAAGCAGATGAAGAAGCTTAAACGATTTAATCAAACACACGCACAAGTTGAGAATATGTATCCAATCATTTTTTTGTCGTGTGTGTGTGCTATGTTTGTATTGGTATCTGTCGAGAAGAAAAAAATGAATAAAAGTTGTTTTGTTTTCAAGTTTCAAAACGATTTTTAATATAAATAAATAAAACAACTTTTTGTTACTAAAACGAAAACTATACATTGAAGAAGAATTTGACTTAAAAGACACGTGCTGGACCTCTACTTGTTTGTTTGTTTTTATTTTGAATTAATCAGTCAGTCCAAGCATACTATGAATGAAGTTAAATTGAATAATAAGGCGACCATAACAGAGACATTCATTTGTTAATTATCTTAAAAAATTTCTATTATATATTGATAAATTCTCGCTTCATGTTATTTTTCCGTTTGTAGTAGAATATAGAGGATATGTGGAAGCGTATCATTTTATTCATATGGTGATTAAAACCGATCAACTGACATTTAGTACTAAGTCATTATTTGTGTTTCGCAAAGGAACATGTGACGTTAAAAAAAGACATTTATGACACTTCGGCTCTTAAAAATAAATCTGTTGTAAAAAAATAGAGATCTAGGGCACTCATAACTGAAGAGAATATTTGAAAAAAAACACAGTTTGGCTTAGATACTACTCGATCAGTACTAAAGCGAAAATCGCTAGGTTTTGTTTTATGATTTTATCTAAAAGATTTATCTTGTGAAAGTTTTCTAGAAATCCTGGCAAAATTCCACTATTCTATTGAATATTATATACAAATTAATTTGATTTGTGTTCAGCATGAATTTTCATGGAAAGTATTTCAGAATTATATGCGAAATTATATTTCGCACTTGATAAGGGACTAGTGAAGGCTTTTACATATTTTTAGGATTACTACACGATATATGTAGTAACATATCACCGCTATTTAGTTACGTATAAAGTGGGTAAACTTGTTTTTTGGATAAATTGCGAGCTTTTACAAATTTGTAAGGCTTGATTTGCAATGATTCTATTACTTCGTACATATTATAGTATAGATCGTTGAATATTCGACTGGATTCGAGTCAAAACGAGGCAATCAAAAAAAGTATATTAGGTAAAACTAAAGTACACACATGAAATAATTCTATCTCCTGAATGAAAATTCCAACGTTTTTTGGCTGGAATGCGCTCAAAAAATTTTAAGAAACGCGCTGGAACAAGTCAGATGCATCTCTAACTCGTTCAGACTTTAAAAAATTAAAAATATGTGTTTGAACGTGTTCGACCGGTCAAACGCGTTAGAACGGCTAAGAAAATGGCACAAAATAACATTCTAACATGGTCAAATCAACTTGTCAGAGTCAGAAACGCATTGGAACAAGTTGATCTCACCGTGATGCAATGCGCAACAAAAATTTTGTCGATGACTCATTGTTTCTAATGAGTTCGAACGCGTTAGTTTTAATATCTTTGGGGTGAACGTGTTCGTCATTTATTTCTTTATTGGGAAATTCAATCAAACAGATCTCGTAGTTGTTTCTACCAGTGATGTAATGAAAAATTTAGCCGGCTATTTCGATGAAAAAGCACAATTGTTTGTTTTATTTCGATATCCAACATTTAATGACTGTACATAACGTTCATGCTTTGATTTTCCTTTTTTTTGTCTTTCTTTTGCTCTATTTATATAATAAATTCTGTTTTCTATAAGATGAATCTATTTCTACGGATCTTACGAATATATAAAGCGTCATTGTTAAAGCGCATTAAATCTTGAACTCAAAACTTCGTTCTAAAAGCGTTTGGACGACTTTGCATTTAAAGGAGTTGAAAGACGTTCCAAAGAAAATTTTAAAAAATAAGCGATACTAATGCGTTAAGGGTACCCCCCCTTTTTTTGACCCTCTTGGAAGCCGGGGACGCCGATGTCGGATTGGGGTGAAATTTATAACAGAGATAGAACATCGAAAAAGAAAATCGAGATATTTTTGGACAGAATTTTGTGACATGTTCTTCTATGGGTTTTCTAGAAAACTCTGGTTTTCATCTAGTCACATTACGGCCCCTCGAAAAAATGGTCCGATCGAGCTCAAAATTTTACCACAGATACTTCAGGCCCTATCTCGGGTTCGTTTTTTTTCTTTCCAAAAAATATGCTTTCCTTCTCGAGATATCCCAAAATGCTGAAAGTCATGCAAAAAAACCTTTTTTCGAGGGGCCGTAATGTGACTAGATGAAAACCAGAGTTTTCTAGAAAACCCATAGAAGAACGTGTTACAAAATTCTGTGCAAAAATATCTCGATTTTCTTTTTCGATGTTCTATCTCTGTTATAAATTTCACCCCGATCCGACATCGGCGTTCCCGGTTTCCAAGAGGGTCAAAAAAGAGGGGAGATACCCTTAATATTATACCACTTTCTCGAACACGCTGAAACGATAACAAATTTGTTTTCATCATGTTAGAAGCCGGTATTTTTTAAATTCCTTTCGAATGCACTGGAACGTCTGCTCAAATAATAAAATTAGCTCCTTGGTATTCAAAATTAATTATTTCAGCAGCTGCTAAACTGTGATAACAGCTTAAAGACGGTTTTAATATTGAAGAAACAAATGTTTTTTGTTTAAAACAATTAAAATAACAAAAAAAAAGTTTCAGCAACAGGGAAAGAGTCATGACAATTAATTGTGATGATCTCCAAAGAGCATTCATTGGACGATAGTTTGCTTTATTATAATAAACAGACATCGGAAACAAAATTGGAAACACAGTAACCGTATGTCAGCATGTGTAGTAAACGATACGCATTGGAGATCAATTGAAAGCTTCATTTTTAGATCTGGATTTTTTAGCTCGTTTTAGGTCTGGGACATCTGATCAATTTTCTTATAAATTTCAGTGAGACATACTCTTCTTTCAAATAGGTTTTTTCTATTCTCTTCTTTTGAGTAGAATTTCCGGAAAAAAATGACTGTTTTTCCTTTGTTTTGATTATTCATACCACACTAGACGTTAGAAAAGTTGATTTTGAATATACAGAGTAGCAAAAAAAACGTTTCAAAAATCTCGTATGAGTTGTTTAAAAAGCCTAAGAATTCAATATATGTTTTATTAAAGTTGAAGATTTCATTTTGCTAGCTGTTTACAGATCTCAGAACCAGTTTCTCAAATGGAATAAATGAGGAACTCATTTATTTTACAGTAGAGGTGTTGATAAAGCAAAACAGTTTGGACAACCTTTACGGACGAAAATTTTACGCAGAATATCCTTTGGAACTTCTTGCCAACTTAATTTAACCCTTTACCTTCCACAGCTAGTTACGTAATGCAAACTTGAAACTCTTGTACCTTTATCTAGGCCGACTGAAAAAAAATTTCTTATTAGCATTTGCTAGCTTATGGTGTCAGCTTACACTAGAAGATAATCCGTTTTTTGATCACCGTCACCTATCTGTAGTAATTCTACGATGTCCACTAATGTCCATCCCAGTGAACATTGGGTTTTAAAGGGTTAAACGTGAGAAGATTCGTACACACACTTTTAAATAGATTTTAGAAAAGAAAAATTCCATTTTACACTTTTAATGTACAAATATGACTTTTGAAGTGTTTCCGCGTATATTGATACTCTCTCTCTCATCACCCTCACGCATTATCAAAATGCTTGAATTTTATTAGTTTTAAGATTACGCATTCGATCATTACATGAATTGAAAACTTAAAATTTTCTACAAATTCTGATAAATTCAATATTTAAATAAAAGCGTTTTGGTCGAAAACATTGAATAACATTAAGTATCATGGTATGGCGTTTATCTACCCAAGCAAAAAACGACCCAATTTTTTGGGTTATTTATCTAGATTCAGCTCCTCGTACATCTAGATGCACGCGGACCTGAATCTAGATAAATAACCCAAAAAATTGGGTCGTTTTTGCTTGGGTACAGACAGCGTCATTTTTGTTTATTTGTTCAAACTGTTTGATCTTATCGACATCTAATCAGGTCCTTTTTCTACTTTTAGAAACATACGGTAAAAGTTCTATATATTTTGTAGGACAGAGCAGAAAATTCCCTAAAAGTCAGTGATGTCTATGCTGCGATATGTTTTAGGTATTACGCCTCAAATAAAAAATGGTGTTGTACATTTTTTCCGATCATGCTGGAGGAAAAAACAAATTAAGAACTTGATCTACAGGTGATAGAGGTCAAATTAGGCTTTACCAGAAAATAAATTTTTTCTCAATATAGAAGCCTCTTTATTGCATTCTGAAGGCAATCAAGCTCATCTGAGTCAAATTTTAATTAGCTGTAGATTTAAAATTTTCGTTTTATCTCACATACGAATTACTTAAACTGTGTTTATTTCTTGCATTGTGCTATTTCAGTTCCAACTCTTCGCATCTTCTCAAGTTGCATTTTTTTTTTGTTGATACAAAAGCGTTACTCGAAATATATACATAGCATTTTAGTTATATACTTAACTTTTAAATGAGGATAGACGCCGCTGTTACAAGCTGCTACCAGTTTTATTGAGGACAACTGAGATCTTCTTACTTTAGAAACCTATCTTTCAAAATTGCTAAGAAACTTTGTTCTAACGAATTATCTACTTTCTTACTAATTATATCTATACACAATGACTATTTCTAAAACTCATACTAGCTTTGCTCTGATGAACACTCAAAGGCTAAATCATGTATTGCAATTAATTTAATATTAAAATGACATCTATTTGTAAATTCTTACTTAAAACTACGGAGGTATACATATTGAAACAACTTAGCAGTTTGCTAAATAGAATGGCAAAATCAAAAAAATTCTCAATTTTTTGTTGCTTTTAAGACTATAGCTGTTTTCTATAAAAAATTTTTAATAGGTTCCACTTCATAGAAAAAGCTTTACATACTCATGTCAGTCCCTGCGCGGGAGATAAAAACAATTAAGCGTTCCATCAGAGGTACTTGAAACTACTCAAGATGACACAATGTAGACATAAAAAAAGAAGAGAAAAATCTAACTCTATAACCTTGGAATTATTTGCTTATTTTTGTTTCTGTGTGAAGAAATACATTGCAAATTACAATGGTTTGATCACACTGCATAGTTCAGATCTTATACACCGTTTTTCATTATTTTCTGCTTTTTGATACTAATATAGTTTTGCATCCTATAGAGAGAAGATGAGTAACTGTATTATTTTGATTATTATAAGCAGATCAGTATGCTAATTTCCCGTTATTGATAGGTTATTTGCTTTCGGAATACTTTATAGAAAGAGATTCTCATAGAGAATAATGATCTCGCAAACACAACGTCTATTTTCTCCTATGGCTATATCGAAACATCGAAATATTCGAGCGCTATCGCTAATAGTCATAACATTTTCCTATTTACTCGTTGGCGCAGCTGTATTTAATGCACTAGAATCAAAACAAGAGAAACTAAGTAAAAGTCAACTTGAAAGTCGTATAATACAAATCTTATTTAAAAACAGAAATCGAAATCAAACCGATATATTCAACGATCAGATGTTAGAAAATGTTACGAGTTCTGTTTATAAAATAAAACAATATCGAGCTCAATATAGCAAACGATGGAAATATCTTGGTAGCTTATATTTTGTTACAATTGTCCTAACGTTGGTTGGTAAGTGATTTGAATAATAATTTAAGTACTACAACCAAATACGATCTCTCATAGGATATGGTTCAAGCACTCCTAAAACCCTAGGAGGCAGAAGTAAGTAATTCAAATGTATAGGAAACTATTAAGTTTACTTAGTTACATATTTTTAGTATTTTGCATTATTTATTCGATGGTCGGAATTCCATTAGCTTTAATAATGTTTCAATCAGTTGGTGAACGATTGAATGTGTTGATAATTCGAATTTTTGGTCGTTTCAAACAAAAGTTAAACTGTAGAAAAACAGATTTATCCGATATCGAATTGATCATGATCAATTCTACATTATGCATGATTGTTGTTCTATTGTGTTCAATTGTATTTAGCAGACAAGAACAATGGACATATTTTGAAGCCATTTATTACTGTCTGATCACTCTTTTTACTATAGGTAACATTAAAAAAAGGTGTTTGCTTTATTTTTAGACTGTAATAGTCAATTTCTTTAGGATTTGGTGACTATGAGCCAATGAAAACCCGTATGGGTATCTATTATTTTCTATTTTGTGTCTCATTCATATTGACCGTTCTCATCATTATGGCATCGTCTATGAATTTACTGGTATTACGATTAGTTAGTTTACGTGGTGATAAAGAGAGTGAACAACGTCATCGTGAAATGATACAAGCCGAAACGATCAAACAAATCATTCGTGAATCGTTTAGCATTGATCGTCATACTCAAATTTATTTTCCACCAACAGCAAAAAACTCACTGCAACAACGAAAATCGAGAAAATCTGGTTACATTTGTCGTCTAATTCCTTATAATTCAACATTTTCAATACTAAATGGACGACAACGAGTTATATGCAAATCAAGTGCAACATTGTGACGCCTGGAAATGGTTACGCCTCAAAAGAGATACTCTTTTTCTAAACTTACACAGTTTCTAGTGTTCCGTCTGATGTAGTTTGATCTTATAAAGTCAATTAGAACAACTTTGTACCTCGTTTGAGAAGCTTCGCTGAAAACATAATTGCCAAAATTATATCAAGAAATTTAATTTTGAAACATTTTGTAACGTTTTGTAGAATGTAACATACATTGTGATGTTGTTTTAAATATGAAATATGCCTTAACTAGACGAACTCAGCACATTAGTTCTTCAATTCGATGTTTCGCTTCGATGTTTTTCAACTGTTGTACAAACAGCCCAAAAGATCGATTTGAGGGCTATCTGAAAAACGTGTCTAAAATAGTGAAGACGAGCTGGCGTAAATTGAACAAGTATATCAGTTTGTAGAAAATTGTTTGCTCTACAAAATGTGACAGCTTTTCAAGTTCGACACTATTCTAATTAATCTCTATTAATCAAAGAAAAACCAAAAAATAGTTAGCGATACAGATTAATTAGAATAGTTTCGAACTTGAAAAGCTGTCACATTTTGTAGAGCAAACAATTTTCTACAAACTGATATACTTGTTCAATTTACGCCAGCTCGTCTTCACTATTTTAGACACGTTTTTCAGATAGTCCCCAAATCGATCTTTTGGGTTGTTTGTACAATAGTTGTATTTTCATAACGGATCAACGTTCAGAGCTCAGACACTTTTCATTTTATAGAGAAATGTTTAATCTACTCAATTATCTAGTTGTAATTTTAGATTAGTCTCTTTATTGCAGTAGTTTTTTGAAAAAGAGTGAAAAAAGGAGACCGTTAGCTGGACAAGCCGTTAAAAAACGATCTTTTGATCGGTCAACCTATTTATGGGACTAATTATCAACGACATATAGATTTGAGTTAGAAAACGATAATGCAGGAGAAGAGAACCATCTCTAACCAGAACTGATTTTTCCAATGGGAAACGTATAAGAGTGATGTCTGACAGAGACGGGCGACGGATGAGGATCTTCGAGAGGCATCACGATTCCTTACGGGACGAATCGCGTGAGTTCGATTATTTAAGAACTTGATGACAACGAGCGTACGAAGCCAATCTTGCTTTGCCAATTCTGGGGACTTTCTTTCTTGTTTAGAAGAACGAACTTTGACCTGAATGTTTTTTGGATAACACTTGAAACGAAAACAATATGCGTCTTTTGTACACATGGTATATCTACCGTTTGCAGAGCAGTTAAGCTCTTTAGCTCTTAGGCTCTTCTAACAACCTTTTGGTATAAAAATAAAAACATGCAGGATTCAGTTACATTTGTCAAATCCTTAATAAAAACTGTGTTATAAGGTGATCGTGAATGCTCTTGATACGGTTTACATTGACAAAGAAAATAAAAAACAAAAACTAAAGATACTAGATGGAGAGTCTAAAAAGAAAAAAATCAAAACCTATTTGAAAATGATAGTGAAAATTCTCCTAAATTACGAACAGCGGGTCCGATTGAATTAGAAAAATATTTCCAACTGAAACTTGTCGAAACAAGTGAGCAAAATGTGGAAGAAGAAAAAACCAATGGTAGTTATGATATTCTTGAATTTTGGTGAAAAGAAAAGAAAATCCTATACGAACGAGGGCAGAGATTTTACGAGGCGATTTTCGCTTATGAATTTGGAGAGCACTTAGCGAGGTACTGGGCGATGACGAGGTAGGTCCCCGCAAGGCAGCAAAAGGTTGTGCACCATCCAGCCAAAAATAAAATGTGAAGGAGCAATCTTAATCAGATCAACCGTTAATAGAGAAGTGCCCGTTGCAAACTCTATTTAAATTTATTTTGGAGCTTTTTTTAAACATTGGTACACTAAAAGCTTAACCATGGCTCGCGCTATAGCTGCGACACAGGGTAAAAAAGTAAAGTTCATTTAGAGTTGTGGGAAAATGCTTTTTCATTATAACCCAGGAGCTTTTCTATTTTTGGCGAGAGGCACTGTCAAAAATTTAGAAAAACTTTAGAAACTAATATTATTTTCCCATGGAAACTTCTGTTTTGCATTTTCTTTGAAAATTTTTTCCTAAACTTTTGACAGCACTTCTCCTCACCCGAAATAAAAAATCTTCTGGATTAATACGGAAAAACACTTTTCCGCGACATTCTCTAAATGAACTTTAGTTTATCGGTCGATGATATGCTGATGTCTTCTACCCCTTTAGCGTGAAAACAAATGTATTCTGTGAAAACCTATTATAAAAGAAATATTTTTGAGTATTCAATTCCTTTTTTCCATCGATGGTATTAATTAGACTTGAATAAAGTAGATTCACGCATTTTGCTCAGTAAGTTTAGGTTTTCCTGCGAAAGACATCCTTTTCGGTTTTTTATGCGATATTCATGACTAGCATTATAAAGTACATATAGTCTATGTGAAGTGATTCTCTTCTTGTTATGCCTTGAAAGTAGATCCGTCTCAATGATCTCAAAAAATCAGACAGTATTGAAAGAGCAAGACGGATATAATAAGACAGTTTTCCCTTTTGAATAAGTCTAATACTCAATAATCTCCTTTTGATCGATTCATAATCGAGGTATTTTCAAACATAAGCTGCAACACACTTGCTACCTATATCTTTGTGATTAAAGTAATTGCAAATAGTGATTTATTATTATTGCTTGTAACTAAATACATTTCTAGAATACGTGTTGAGTTCGATTTCTAGTTGAAGAATACTTTTTCTTTCTAAAATAGTATCACAAATTATGTTAAGAAATTCAATATGACTGACTTTAGTGTGTATGAGATTCTATCATGTTTTTTATCATCTGAAGAGTTATGTTAAAAACTACTACAAAAATTGCTATAAAAACCAATAAAAATGAGATAAAAAATTGATTTTTTAATATTTACAATATGAACAATAATGGAAGACATACATACAAAGAAAGAGAAGAATAGGAATACACACACTAAAATAATCTTGGTAGAATATAGCACCTATTGTCAATGAGTAAAGTAAATAATACAAAAATAGAAAAGAAAACCAAATATTTCATCAAAAAATTAAACAGATGTTTCATAATACGACGATCGACGTGAATCCTTCTACAATTGATCAAAACGATTATAAAATAACACTTTAATCTTATAATCTATGCAGTCCGTGGTATAAACTATACTCATTACAAGCATTTATCTTTCATTTCTAGGAGATGATTAGAGTACTTACTTTATTGCGAAATCTTTCTGGACTTTGATTTCTGATTAGTCGAGATCTAAAATAGAAAAAATATTATGCATTCGAAGAAATCTGTTGATAATATGGTAGTTTGGACACATACTTTGAATTGATAGAATTTGATGGTTGAGAACGTCTTTTTACACTTCCTATTATATATGAAAGTCAACAATAAACGTCATTTTTATTTCATATTTCATACTTACCATTAAGTGATTTTTGTTTTTCAAATGTTAGTACACTTGGATTCGATTGTTGATCATTCGATCTTGTGTGACGTAAAACTGGTTTTTTATTTTCTTCTGTGGTAATTTCATTAATCGAAAAACGAATTGCTAAACCATTTGTCGCCTCATCAAACGGTTGTTGAAAATCATTATCTATTGAACGTTTCCTTGATGAATTCAATTTTTCAGATGATGTTGAACTCACATTTGATAAGCAAGCAAATGCATTTGCTTTACGTCGATTCTCATAAGATGATCGCGTTTGTTGTGATGAATAATAGGGTTTTTCTTGATACGTAATTATTGTTGGTTTTAATTCATCAGATAATTTTCTATTCGAAGACATTGTTAATTTATTATTATCATCAGCTGTTAGCCCACCACAATAATGTCGACTACTATATAACCGTTGACTATTAACTAGCGTATCTTGTTGTGTTAATGAATTACTAATTGTTGTTAATATATCAGATTTCTTGAATGACGTTGAACTATCTCTTTTCCAATTTACGTCCGTACTGTCAAGTAGTGATGCATTGGCAATAGCGTCGATTGGGTGAGATAAATTGCTGTTATTTTGCGTTCTTTTCGGAATACTATAGATTAATGTTGCAGATGAATTCGTATTATCGGTCAGAAATGCGTTCTGTTTATTTAACAGACTTTGACGAGGTTTTGGAGCTATTGGTGTATGCGAAATTATATGTGAAACAATGCTAGTGGTTCCCAAATCAGATGAATTAGGAGTGGGTGTAGGCGGATTAGAGTCTGCTGTTGTTGTTAATAATTTTCGTAGTGTATTATATCGTTCAAACTGGTTTTCACTTTGTTGTGGTGTCGATGTTCGAAAACTGCTGTCATCAATGGACGAAGTTATATTGTTCGTTAATATAGATGATGTAACAGACCATGTGGATACTCCATCGGAGGATGTTTGTCGTATTTGATGTTTACGTGTAGGTATTTCAATTAGACGACCGGGTTTCGGTCTAAGATGAGCGGGCTTTAATGATCGATCGGGCACGGGTGGTGGTAGGTTAAGTAGAGGCATATCAAACTCATTTTCTAATAGTGGGTGAACGTTTGTATTATTATTATTATTATTATTATTATTATTATCACGTATGACTAGCTTTTCGTTTAACATCGTTTTTGATGATATGAATGGAAGCGGTTTAGAATAGTAAACAGATGATGGACTGACGATAGGTGAAAGATTTTTTAATAAATGCGGATCGGTGACAATTGGTTCAAGAAAATCGCTATCGATATTTAATGATGTTGTCGGGGTTGGTGTAAAATCGGCAAATCGATCAAATTCAAATGTTGTTAAATATTCATTATAATTATGGGGAATCTCAAGTTTTATTTGTTGTAAATGAGATCGTTCATACTGGCTCGAATAACCCGAATCATGTCGAATTTCTGGAAGGTAAATTCCATTATAATGAAAATGTGAATATTCGTCATCATTAGCCAGTTCGATGATATTCTTTTTATAAATGCGTTTTTCAGTCGTTCTGTGATGATGAATTGTATTTTCTTCGTAATCATTAGATTCATATTTAATGGGTAATGACGTATGTTTCGTTGGAGATGGCACTTCTTGTAAACTTTTTAAAATGGATCGTGTTGGTTTCGAACCCCATTGCCTACAACAAGAATAAAAAAGAAAGATAAAAATGAAATAAATCGAAAGTAATATATCTTACGTACCAACGTTGATCATCATCTATTGTTTCGTGTTCTGAATATAATGTTCTTCTGTTAATTGATAGATTATCTTTATTTCCAAATGTCAAAAAACGTCTCAACTCATTAACGAGATTTTCATCTAATACTTTCGTTTTAATTAACGATTTATTTTGTTCAAATGGTGTAACAATTGGCTTTGATTCATCGTTATTTAATAGATTTTTAACCGATTTTCTTTCGTTTGTTGCTGAACATAAATTTAACCAATTCACTCTGTCAACAGAATTTGGATTCAGTTGTGGATGACGATGTGGGCTGAGAAGCCAAGAAACGGATAATCCTAATGCCCAATTACCACTTCGATAACCATCATAATAGGTACCAATTAAATATTGTCGTCGACGAATTTTCGAACGATAACGTGGAAAAAAATCTTGATGATCATTTTTATCATTAATTACAACAACTGTATCGTCATTTTTCTCTGTTTCTGAATGACATCGACGCATATTTAAATACGAAGGATTAAACGTAAAATTACGTAATAATAAATCATCTTGTAATGTTTCAGATTGTTGTTTTGTTTCTGTCATATTTATCGATTGACTATTTGTTGTAGTTTCTATCAGAGATGTTCGATTATGAGTCAAATCTAGTACATCTTCATCTATTAATTGTTGTTGTGCATGAGATGACGACATGACCTCCTAGTAAGAAAAAAAAGCTCAATATACACAGTATTTTCTTTCTTTTTATGTGTGTATTGATTACATGAGGAATTTGAGATTATCTCAAGTAACAAAAAAATTTTGAGTGATTATTATGATTCTGGCACGTATATTTCTCTTATTTTCTCTTTCCCGTACTCCTACAAAAATATGAATGAATTATATTTGAATATATATAAGTCTTTCTAATACATGTGTAACATTTATCCCCCACTGTCGTTGTTCACATAGATCTTTCATTAACAAAAAAAAAATATGAATCAAGGTAGCATATATAAGAAAATAAAAAACTGCTACCATCATTTCACTAAATATTACATTGTTAAAAAATATCAATTATTCATATCAACTGTTAAGATTTTAAAAGATTTTGAAGAAAATAAAAGAAAAATTATGTTGTCTCTTTGAATGTCAATATTTTTATAAATATCATTTATGATAGAAAATTGATGTTATCAAGATTTATGTTAGTCGACAACGCTCATTTTTTTTACTATAATGATATAGTGAACAATTTCATCAAGATTCGTTGATTAACTTTTTATACTTGATGATCCTTATCGATATTGAATTTTTATACGTAAAATAATTAATCGAGTGCAATAGTTAAACAGCTCAGAATATTCTTTTTCAGTTAAGTAAGATTCAAGCTATATCTGATATTATAAATACATCAGTAAATAAGTCAGAATAAATCGACTTGATTATATAAACAATCGCTTGTGAGAGAAGAAAGCTGTAAACAGAGTACGAAATATTAGGGCTGAAAATATCTTTCTGATCTTGACTGTTTATATGGAGTAATTATAATATCTAATGATTCTTTAATGATTTCTTTTTTACAATGACAGTAGTCTAACTGTATTCAATATACCAATTAATCATAAATTTTTACAATTTGTTATATGATACATACGAATGACAGTAAAAATATTTGAGAAAATAAGTAGACCTTACTTTTTCCTCAATTCGACTATTAGAAAACATTATTAAAATCTCAGAGAATTCATTTATTCATGAAGATGTTTACTGAAAATTAGCAATATTGGTCGGTTCTTTCTTCTGTTTTTCCTGTTGTTTACATAGTGTCCGTTAATAAATTTCTTAGATATTGTCTGATTAGTGCACAACTCAGTCATTTCGGAGCAGATACGAGGAACGAAAAAGACGACAAACTTGTTTCCTCATAGTAAAGTGTTTAGAACCAATTCAGATAAAGAATAAATGTTGACTTTGCATGAATGATTTAATTTAAAAATGGTTTTTTGATGCATTTTCTATTACCAGATATTATCTCACAATTCGTTTGTATGTTATCAGTACAAAAAATTTCTTTCTGTTGAAAATGCGGTATTGAAAAGGAAATATTTTCAACATACCCTAGAACATTGCATTAAAAGCGTATAGACTTAGAATTTAAACCTCGTACATGTACAATATTCATTTAAGGGTACCTCTCACAGTGAAATCAGTCAGAAGTCAGCTAGGTGTGAGATTAAGGTATATTTAAGTTCATAAATGTGTCTGCTTTTCAAAAACAGAGTATGTATCTCCTTATGTGAATTTCTAGAGGTCATCACGTGCAATTTGTTAAGAACTCCGTAAAATCACATGACTTTCTAGACGATTTCACAGTTTGATAAAATCGAGCTAAGTTCTTGAAGAAACTACAGTGCCATATAGAGAAAAACGTTTGCTTCAACAATAACACGTGATGCAGATGAGCACGACATTTTTCGTAAAGTTACGGCTGATTTACTATACCTCTTAGAAACGTCTTAACCAATTAAGATGGGTACGTTTTAGTTAGTAGTTCAAGATTTCCGCCTGTGTTCACAGTCATTGAACGATAGTTTTAGTTTTTACTCATCTGAGACAAGAAAATTGTGTTGAATGTTTGGCATTAGATTTTTAAATAATGTTCTGCTGTTATTTTTTCAAAAATTTCGTTTATCTTTGGGGAATTTTAACGGTTTTTGACTTTTAAGCACAAGTGAACATACAAACAAGAATCGGCTCCTACACTCAATGAGATTGAGTGTTTACTTTGCTTTAAAATTATCTTAATATTTCTAACTTTCCCTATGAAAATTCTTTTTTGTAATACTAAATGGACTTATTAGGTTTCTTATTTTCTTAATCTTTGAAAATGGATATAGATATAAACAGTCAAAAATTATTCTTCGAGCATCATTTGATATGATTTATAGATATGTTTAAATTTTCTTCAAACTTGAATATAAAAATACAGGTACAGCGTCAAGTTCTGTTTAAGTGTTATCGTAGTATTCATGACCAACTTCTATTATTTCGTATCCTCGATAAAAATCTCATGTTCCTAAGCTATTAGATATATTTATTAAAGATTCACCTGAATATCTTGTCTTACCTGTTTATTGTTTGTCGTTCCACTTGTTATTGATTGTTGTTTCATCAAATGTTTATCGTTTCCCGGACGTGAGAATGTGTATAATCGATTATGTGACGTTAAAGTATGACTATTTACATTATTGTCACTCGAATCATCTTCTTGATCATTTTGTGTTGTATAAGATAATAAAATAAATTCATCGTTCATATCATTCTCATCAAGTTCTCTTAAACAATCTTCATCCGATATTTCTCTCAGATCATTATTATCTTTAACACCGGTGATATCTGATGTTTCAATTAATGGAGAAGAATTAGATAAATTTAGTTCTGGTATCATTCGTTTATGTAATGAATTAATATTATCCAACTTCATATTTGTAATTACTTCATTGGTCATAAATTGAACGAAATTATTTTCTGTCGTTAATTTTTGAAATTTAATTGCTCCATTTGTCTCAATAGACGTTGATAAGATATTATTTTCACTATTTTTTATTGTACTGTTATTTAAAGGTGATGAAATTGTCTCGAGAATATTTTTCACATTGTTATTTTTATTCAAAGACATGTTTTGTGTTGGTATTTGTTTGACATTAAAATCATTTTTTACTGTTGATAATATATCGTTGTAATTATTATTAGCTGTTGTTCTGTTCGCTTCTAATAATTCTGATATACTTGAATTTTCTTTCTCCTGATTTACATTCTTAATTTCAATATCATAATTATTATCAATGTTAGGAACAGATATTGTTCGAGTGGATGTTATTAAGAATTTCTGATGTGGTTTTTCATCGATTTGGTATTCATCATCTGTTATATCTTCTAATTCAACATAATTGTAATCATGATTAGTAGAACTAGAATAAAAATAAATAGAAATAAAATCTATTACAAAAAAATACGTAAAGAATGAGAAAGCATAGTTGTTCACCACTAAGACATGTGCACATTTATTTCAACTATATACTGGATAAATATAATTTGAAGATCAATTTATCAATTTGTAATTATTGTAGATTATTTTTGAACAAAATTTCACTATTTTGCTATCATTTACAGTAGAAAAATTGAGCATTCATTTTTATTAATTAAAAAATTCGAATCGATGATCAATTACAACCAGTTGAAAATTCTAATATGAATTTTTTTTTACATACCTCATTTTGGGAATGAAAAAAAGACAAGAGAGACGTAATGACAAAAAAGTAATTTGTCGAGAAATCATAAGATGAACTGTATCTATCTCATCTTAGAGATTTCTTTTATTTATATATGTGTGTAAAAAGGAAAGAAGCAAATTAATAATATATCTATTAGGGCATTTTCTCTTCCATATGGATAGATACATTCGAAAAACAATCGTGCCATTTAGAATCTTTCCCTCTTTCTTTCTCTATGTTTCTCTTGTATGTGTGTGTGTGTGTGTGTATGTGTGTGATGTTTAAGGCTGTAATTCCCAATCCTCTCTCAAAGTCAGTTTTTTTTTTCACGGTATAAATTAACTGTAACTTATTTATAAAATACTGATCATTATATAAATCACATTTGTGCCTATATATATATGTATACACGCTATTAGAATTTATTATAATCAAGTCTTTGTAGTAGCGCTATTGGTGATTAAATTGGTAACCTTCAAATACAACAGACATTTGCCTCTTTTTCTTCATAGTCTTAATAATATTCTTGAGAAAATGCTTATGTTCTTTTATTCAATCGACTCAATATTTATTTTGTGTAAATAACGTCAGTTACGATTAAAAAAATAATTTCCGCAAGAGAAATATCTTGTACACGTGTGGATTAAGTTTTTGTTTTGTCTATAAGAAATCTCCTATTCTGTTTTAAATCACGAATTTTCTTTCTTTTCCCTTGAGAATCTAAAATTTTTTACATCAAAAATTTCACTCATCGTAGATATTTATCTCAATTAGTCATCTCCTTCTACTATTTTTACACAATTGTTCAACATTGTTCAGTGTACCAAAAACAAAAAAGAGTTACTAACGATCTTATTGAATGATAGTAAAGATAAGATAAAATTTTAGAGAGAAAAAAAAAAAACTATCATACTAGAGAATTTACCTTAACATTGTTCCCGTCTCTTGTTTACAATCGACAATTATCCGAATGTCATTCTAAACGATATAATAGTAGTATTAGAGTTGTGTCATACATGTGTTTTTTTTTCGTTGGTTTTTTAATCAATAAAAATAATAAAAAAAAATATATATGTATTTTTTTTTCTTCTTTATGTTGATTCTTAACAAAAAAAAAAAATCCTACAAGAAGAGGAAAGAAAAGATACCTTGTCTTTGAGTACTCGGTTACTTCTTGTTGTTTGAATTAACTTTCTTTTTCTCATGTCGGCATCGGCAGGACCATGATGGTCATCAAAGAAATTTGATTTATGATTGTCTAATAAAATAACATAGAAAAAAATGACGAAAAATTATAATAATAAAATAGATACGTAAATATGTTTTTTAAATTAAATTCGAATATATCGTTACAAAAATCAAATAAATTTTAAAAAGAACAGTAATCATGAAAACGAAAGTCAACTTGAAAGTAAACGATGTCTGCTTCTTTTTTTTTTTTTTTTTTTGGGTGTCATGTTGTAAAAGTCGTTGCCATTTGCAATTATTTATAGTTTAATGGATGAAAAATAGATTTTGCGCGTTGCTCGTTTAACAGAGACTGGATTTAAACTCGCATTTTCAAACTACATTATCCTCTTTCTTTCGATCTATAAAGGGTGACAATCAATGAATTACTGATTCAAATAGAATATTGAAATTTTTTGATAGAAATTATTTTTTTACAAATTTGTCTTAGTATAGTAAGAACTATTGTTTAACATGATCATATTTATTTGTCGTCCCTAATGAAACTTCTTGTAATAGAGAACTTGATTTCTTGAATTTTTTCAGTAAGATTTCAATAAGAAAACATAGAAGTTCAAGAAATTTTAAGGAATCAATATTTTAAAAAGTTCTTGAATTATCGTTTTTAACATATAAGTGCAAAAAGTTTCATACACAGAATCCATACTTCAAAATGTTTCCTTTCTTGAAAACGATCACAATACTTGTCTGAGGAAGAGTCGACGATCACGTATGATCGTATATCTAATGTACACAAACAAAATATAAAAAAACTTTTCACCACATGGCTATAAAATACCTATTGACTCGATTTAACGCAAGATCTCTAAAATTTCTATTCAAAAAATTTTAATTGAGATTCTGATCGCAAGATTCAAGAATTTAAAACTATAATAGTAAGTTATTAAGAAAACATCATCTACCATACGGACTAAGAAATATCTATTGGAACGAAAGTTTTTTTTTCCATATTCACTGTTTTTTAAAGACATGTTATTTTCCACGAAGATAACTAAACAATATATAAACAAAAATAATCGATTCTGACAAGAAAGTCAATAAATATTATAGAAAAAACGTTTTTATGTTCAGTTTTTTTTAGTCTATATGGGAGATGATGTTTATTTTATAACTTTTCTACTTTTTTATAGATAAAAAGACAAATAAACATTCATGTCAACAATAACCTTTACTGTCCTAATGTATATGAATTTAATCAAATTTATAAAGTTTTTCCTATCGAAAACTTAAATGGTTCATTAGCGTTCGTAGTGTGTGATCATTCCTTACATTGCCTAAATCCTTGATCAAATGAATAATTCTTTTTAATTATTCTGAATATATTCCAGTTTTTCGAAAAACAGTGTAAGACTAAGGAAGTTACCTTGAGATGTACGTATTAGATTGTATGTTATTTTCTCATCTACACTTTTAGCCTGTTCAAAATTCTTATCTGTCGTCTTATCATTGCAATTATTACTCTGATCAATTCTCGATTGACGAATAAATTTTTGTCGTTTAGTAGTATTTGAATTTTGGCATAATTCTGTTGAAACTTCATGTTGGTTATTGTTGATATTATTTTGTAAATGTCTATTTCCATGTTGTAATATATTTTTGTCTTTTATTATACCTAAAAAGTAGAAACAATGTTAAATATATAGCGATTTTTCCAGTTGATTTTGTCTCTATTTCTCATACATAATGAACTATTTGCCAACCAACTTACCTATATTAAAAAATTTTCAAGTGTAAGTAGAATTATTGTATTGCTTATCAAAATTATGGATAAATCCTTTTTATTAATTAGAATACCTTCTCAGTTCACACATCTAGCTTCCAATTAATAATAGATAACTTACGAACAGAAACACGGTAAATGAGTAAAAAAAGATAAATAATGAATAAGATAACGTCATACTTATAGGTAGTGAGATGTGTGATGGCCTTTCTTGTAATCACGATCAAGACAAATCAAATGTCACTCACTAGATGCTGAAAAAAAGCATCAGAAAGCCAAGCGTTTGGTTTTATAAGAAGTTTTCACTAGGACAAGAGCTGACTTTTTTTTACAGACAGACTGCGACTTAAATGACGAATTGTATTTGCGTTTAGTTATTTGATTTAACATGCCAAATCTCATAGTTAATCTTTGGTTAGTTTTATTCTCAATATTGATATTGGAAACAGACGCAAGAGAAATAATGTAAAAAAAGGTAAATCAATAAAGGCAATGTTTCGACAATATTTTATCTAAATTTTGTAGACAATGTGTTGTAATAGTAAAAATTTGTCATAGTTGGACATCTTCTAATGTTTGAAGTTTGACGAATACGATTTTCAATATCTCATACAATTATTAACCAGAGTAGTAACCGCATCACAACAATTTTGTGTAAAAGCCATAAAATTTCTTTCTAATGCTAATTTTGCCATTGCTACATCATGATATACTGATGATAGAGTTGCTGTAATGGAATAATGATATCAAGTTTTATTCTGACATTGTTAATTCCAGTTGTAATTCATTTGAATCACCCATTGCTCTTCTGTTAGCTCATGAAAAGCTCTCAATTTTTTTAGATAATTTATCTGTCAACAGATACAAATATCAAATTATGTCTGATGAAGTTGATGAATCTCGTGAAACTAGGCGGCCATTACTCAATAATGTTTCGATACATCTAAAGAATTACAATCTATGAAAGAAAATGACCACTTTTAGAGTATTCTTATGCTAAAAATATTAAAAGTCAAAACTTCCCAATAAATTATGGAATGCATTGCTTCTCACCGGGTAACACAGATTCTTGGCACGTTAGAAATGTCAATAATTTTTTAACGAGAAATATGTTTTGTAATAGATATCTAGAATAGATACGATATTTTCTTTTTTTATGTCTTGTGTATACTGCTCAATAGAAGTGGATGAGAGACGGAAAAACGCGATGTAATCGTGGGGAATCTTCGTGAGGAAAGATTTTTTCGATGCGTTATCAAGACTGTCCGTCCAAGAGGCGAATGGAAACTTTTTTTGACCACTCATAACACCGAGATAATATATTGAAGAGGCAGTGTGAGGTTTCTGAAAAAATATTCGTAATCCGTGTAACACCGGTTGCCGTTGAATTAACAATTAGTCATGCTACTAGGCACCGACGTATCACGTTGATTTCAGAAACCGCTATTGTTTGTTCTGTAGTAGAAATACAGATTATTCATATTGGATTTTTGTTTTATATCACTTTTTGAAATATATCATTGTTTTTTGAGAAACAAATAACGTATAGAACCACGTAATTGTACTAGAAAAAATATGTATTTCATATCACGAAGCAGATCCGTAGCCAGGGAAGGTGCCCATTGTGCTTGGACATACCCCATAAGTAACGCTTCAAATGGAACACTCTCGTGGCGAAGAAAACTTTTCCCTGTGTTAGCGAACCGACTTAGACCTCATGAGATGAGAGGTACGACCGTGCAAAAAATTGATCTTCACCCACTTTTACTGTACCGCACTATATACTCAGTATATTGAGTCAACTAAACTTGTCATTGACATATCATCAATGTAGTCTCCTGAGAATTTGATAAAATTTGGATGAAAAGTGTGAACAAAATTATTGTAACTATCTATCCTCGAATAATGTACATTCTTCATCGTCCTTCTGTGCATCATTGCTGTTGATGCTTTTCATCAGTTCATTCAACCTAGCATCATTATATTCTTTTCTTTATTTAGGCGCATTGATCCTTCTTCGTACGTTTCGTTAACGTTCTCGCTCATATTACGTTGACTTTGTTTCTAATGTCGCAAATTAAATTATATATCTATCTTTACATTTATGTTGATGGTTTATTTCTAACTTTTAATTATCTGATAAAAAAAATATAGATACTTAATAATAGCATCTTTCATTTTGGATATAACACGATTCGATTCAAATAGAAAGGCAACTCCTGTGGATAAATAGAAAAGTTCAGAATTAACTAGAAAAATGTTAGCGATCAGCCACAACACCACATTTATCAGAAGCTTCAGAACTGGTATCTAGTGACTTTTGCCACAATGAAAATTAGATGGATCGGCTACGCTTAGTCTCGCAGCAATGTTCGTTTCTTAGAAAACCTTCAAGAACCTAATGAAACTAATCGAAAGCTTCAGAAAATACCCTATTTTATATTATGCAGATGGTTCTGGGATATAGAAGTCAAGAAAGCTATTTTTTCTTACAAGGTTTTCTAGAAATCTAATTAGAAAACCAAAAATATTTCTTAAAACTTTTTCTTTAGTCTCCATGTCAAACTATATATAGAGCGATCCAAATTAAGCATCTTCTGGAATTTAAGATCGATCTAACCAGTTCTGTTACCTTTATATATTATTACTTGAATATTAGATAAAACCGTTTAACAGAGGTTAGTTCATATAAAAATCAAGTCCTATAAGGTTTTTTGAAGTTTTCTTTAAAAAACAAATATTGTCATGAAATTCAACACTGCCTACCCTACCTATACTGCATCTAATTTCTATACTATCTAAAATCTCATGCAATTGGACGTGAAGAGTACTCGAGAATATTGATACTTTTGATCCATTGGAGAAGTTTTGACAGAAAGAAGGTAATTTTTATTTTGCGTTTTTCTTGCATGTCAGTTTCAACGAGAAATGTTACAATAACAACTTTTTCTTATGCTTTATGTCATAAATGATTACATTTGTTTTGCCTGGTAGATAAAGGAAAAGGAAACCGCATCGAATATATCAAGTTGATTTTTCAATCAAGCTTTAGTTTCTCAAAAAAAATTCAGCATCATTAAGGAAATCCCTCTCTCCTGAGATAAAACAAATCGACTTTTGAGTTAAACATCATGGTGTATGGTAGTAGCGTTAAGTGTCCTCTACAATTTCAATTCACTCCGCGCTCAACCTTTTTTCAAGAAAATATGAATTTTTTAATATGTCACTTCACGGTGAAATTTTCAATTTTAGAAATTTTTTTTTCTTTTTTTCCTGTGCCACAACAAGTAGGCGACCTTGGAGATTTAAGGGTTTTTCTTTTCTTCAGATTGAGACATCTTCCAGCTTTTCACGATGTTTCCTTCAAATGTCATAAAGTGTGGCAAGAACCAGAAAAATGTGACCTGCGTGTTCCGACGTTAATAGTTCAAATCTCGATTCGGAGTAACTCATCGCGTATCGTAGCAACTCCTTCGAAAGGTTGTCAGTTGGTGTTCATATTTTTACCGCAGATACTAGGCTCTAATACGCTTCGGCATCTTTTCTGCATACCCAGAATAACGGAACTCTGAAAGCCTCAGAATGGAAATTTAGTTCTCCAGAAAAATTTTCTACATATTCTTAACGTTAGATCTTGGCTATTTAAGTCGAAAAACATCAGGCATGCTGGAGTTAGTATAGTGGTAAAAATCTGAGATCGACCGGACAAGTTTCGATGATGTCGGTAGGTGTGTGATGAAAAAGCTAGTTTTTGCAGAAAACCATATGTAAAAGTAAGTTTTAAGATCTAAGCACAATAAATATAACTATTTTGTGTATCAAGAAGATGCTCTAGTAGAAACTCGAACTGTCTTCGATCAGTCGTCAAGATTCTATAACAAGACAAAAAAAAATGAGAAAAAGATATCTTTAAAGCTTTTTGGAGATCTTTTTACAATTTTTAAATTTTTAAAGCTAAAAGTATAAGAGGGTAAAAATTCACTTCCTACATTCAACAAAACTGAGTGATTGACTTTGATTTAAAAACATTCCGAACTATGATACTAAAATGATATGTTCCGTTCCTTGTTTTCTTAAAATTTGCTAGCAATTATGCATATAGACAACCTGAAAATTATTTAATATCATGACTATTTCCTGAAATCTTCATTAAAATCGTTTATGAAATAAAAGATGTTTTTTTTTTTGGCTGTGAAGGCTCGCACCTAACTCCTTCACTGTCTTTATGTATTTGTAATTGTTTCTAGTCTATTGATAAAGTATAATTTTTTATTTAATATTGAGTATTTAATGCGAGGTCATCACCATAAAGAGATACCCTTTCTCTTAGCGGAAATATAATGATGTAGACAAAGGTCATTTAAGGTATCTATTGAGTATTAAAGACATATACTTAAAGATGATAAAGAACAAATTATATAAAATGTCTTATAGTGATTAGCCAATTGTATTTCATGAATGAAAAGATAAACGCATCGTTATACATAACATTTAAGATTGTTTTATACTCTAATTTACAATGAATTCGAATAGATTACAATTAAAATACTTTTTTATTTAACCCACGTCATCATGTACTTTACAGCGTTCATAAATTTCTATATTTTAGATTAAATGAAGACTTCAAACTGTCAGGAAATAATTATCAGTATAATTTAAATTAATCAGATTTTACATGTTCACCGCTTCCTTTTCGAGGATAATATTCATTATTCGACATTGATCTACAGATCAAATAATAGATATTAAACGTATAATTTAGATCGATGGACAATTGATTTATTTTTTTTACTTTCTAATATATAGAGATATCCGATGAGATGGTTAACATGAACCATATGTTTGGTTAAAAAATGATAAATAATAATGATCAAAATATTCTACTATAAATGTCTGTCATAGAAAAAAAAAAAAAAGAAGAAGAACAATAACAACACCCCACGAATAATCTTTCTTTTTTTGACAAAAGAGAATTTAATGTCTGAATGTTTTATTATTTTAGGATATATATAATACGTACACTCATTCATAGATCAACATAGCAGACACAAAAAGATCAATAACAATACAATAGAAACGAGAAACATACGCACAGTTTATTAATTAGACTACTAAAACGAAACTGTGAGAACAACTCTAATATATACGGACACAGTATAAACGCAATACTACCATTGTTCTCTAAACGTATATATTATAAGAATTTCAAAAATGAGTATAAGTAGGTCAAATTCAATATTAAACTGCACAGGCATCATTCATAGTCTATAGTATTTATTTGTACATTACCAAAATACTGGCAAACAAGGTTAATAACATTTGCTCTACCCCTTGTCTATCGTTATCTTTCTCTTTTATTAATGAGAATTTGACATACCCATTCATTCTCTCTTACATTTATTATAGTCAAAATAAAAATCATTATTGTCGTTTATTTGAAATGTCAGTTCAAATAAAATGAATAACTGCAATAATCGCGATAAAATGAAGATATTTTATATTCACTTGTTTGAAGATGATAGAATGTTTTGATTTTATGTTTGATATTTTAATAGTATCAGGTTAACTTAAACCGAGTTTACAATCAGTTAACTACTATAAGTTTAAGATTTAAAAAGTAGATAGAAAATACTAAAGATGAGAATACTACATTCACAATTTAAATGTAAGAGTAACAGCATCTGTTTTTAAATTCATTTTTAATTTTATTTAATTAAAAACTATGAAATGTGTTTCTTTTGCTGCTGTTTACTCTGACATTTATATTGAAATTATTACTCTTCAACAAGTTCGATACATTCACAATTATTAATATTTGAGACATATGTAAGAAAATTCGTGATACTATAGAAGAATGGAAAGATATTTTGAACATGAATCATTAATCATTTCTGTTTATTTTTACTACACTAGTCTCCGGTAATAAAAACAAAACATCCATGAATAATGATGTTAGACCTCTCTCACCTTTTGTTGTAAACTCAACTGGTCTATACCATTTTGATGTTTTTGAAACACGTTCAACACCCGGTTCATATTTTTTTCGTTGACTTATTGTTGTTGACATTAATAATGGTTGTGTTGTTATTGAACGATGGGTCATAAGTGATAGTGTATTCCATCCATTATAGACGGTATGATGCCATGAATGTGCAGAAGGCGATGGCGATGTTGCTGATGATCGATGTGATTTATAACTACCTGCATATTGTCGACTAATACGAGGTGAATAATGTCGATTTTCATCTTGACTATTTTCACTTTGATGAGATATTACTGATGATTCTGTTCGATATCGATTGTTTTGTTCATTATTACTAGATTTATATTCATTATCAATAATCGAATCATTGTACCAATTTGGTACAGTTAATTTTTGTAAAGATTTTTGAAAACGTTGTTCATATTCCATATCTACACCTAATGCTGTTATTGTTTCTGTGATGTCATTATTTCGATGAAATTGTCTTAAATCGTTATTATGATTATTACGATAACAACAATGTAAAATTTCATCATCACACTGTTTGTTTAATTCATCAAATACTGTCAAATCATGTTTTTTCTTATTGTAATCAATATGTTGTATATCTGAAGTAATGATATGCAGATGAAAATGAAGGGTAACTTAAGATGAAATAAAAAGAATAATATCTATTAAACTTACATCGGTAAGTATAATAGACTGTCATGTGTGAAATACAGACACTTTATAATGGATTATCATGCATGAAGGTTAACAATCATAAAGAAAATCTAACAAAAAGACATTTCATTAAAGACCATATTATTTATGATATTCATTTTATCATCGAAACTATTGTATTAATATTGTTAGTTATAACTTTTTGATATGATTCAACCTTAAGATTAATGAGGATTTTGTCACGAACTCACACAAGAATGTCTCACACTTCTCTTAGAAGTGTCAATTTTAATTTTTATATAGTCTGTTATCGTTTCTCAAGTCGCTGTCCTGATCTAATCAAACATATTTTTGTTTTCTCACATCAAATATACACTCTTTTTTTATTTTTTTCTCTTACTTATTAGCGATTCATTGCTTGAGTAATTTGAGAGTAATGAATCTATAAAATCATCGTTGACATCGTCATTGGTGGGAATTGTTTGAACAATTTGTCCATGATCGACAGACTGATCTAAATAAAAGTAAATTTTGGGATATTTTTTAATATGCCATAAAATATGTAGATTTCTTTTCTCCAATGATATATATAATACATATGGATATCTGCAAGCGTTTCTTGAGTACTAAAAGCTACATCATGATGGGATTGAATGAATGAATGAATGAATGAGTCTTCTCTTCTCTCTCTAAATAGACTAATGATAGAAACGAAACATTATCTCATTAGGTGAAAAAAGAAGAAAAAGAAGAAAAAAAATCCTTTTTATCCGTTTTTTTCATGACTGTATCCGTATGTGCGTACTGTACATAATATTTTAGATTTTTGTAAATTAGAGCACAGATATCGGCTCACAGGTTGATGGTGGTTTACGTTGCTCTTTCTATGTTTTCTTTCAATTCATTGCTCTAACAGCAGACCGTAATATATCTGTTTATTAATACAGTGTGTATAAACAAATATACAAATATGTATGCAGAGTGTCGGTATTATTGAACACTAAACAATTCGTGACTTATATGGTTCATTTAAAACTGTGTTCACATCTATAATGGTGTGATTTGTGGTAAATCAAATTGTATACCTACCTAAGTTTTGATTTGATGCAAACTGTTACTTGTCTACGAAATGTTTGCATTCTTCAATAACTGTCATTCTCTTGAAAGATCTAACAGTCATAATGTCGTAATGCCTTATGACAGCAGATATTAATTAGTTAATTATATTGTTCAATATAACCCGTAAAACATATAATCTGAGTCAATTTTTACTAATAATTCTGATTTATTTTAAAATGAGAAAAAAATCATTACGTACTTCTATAATTAACGTTCATTTTGTTCGTATATATATATAAGGCCAACACAATGTGTTGATAATTATCCTGTTGTATACATATTGCAACTTAAACTATGCTCTCTCTTCCAATGAGTTCGTATAAATATAACAGATGATGATTATTATATTTGAATAAGATTGTATAATAGAAATGAAAATAATTAGGGTATGTCAAGACATCAGCGAAAAAATGTCATGATTAAAAATATGATATCATTGTCGTATGTGTATATTGAAGGTTACACCAGTGACTATCTGTGACTATCTATTACTTGCTAGAAAATAACAAGCGAGATTGTGGGAATACTACTAATAGAGACGTTTTCTTCTTATATAAGATCATTAGATTATAATTTTTCCTGTAAGAAAAAGAAGATAACAAAGTATCTGTCGAGACCACAAATCTCTCTTTCTCTCTTTTCAAAGTTCATCAAATTCTATCATTATTCTAGTCAAGAAAAAAACTATCCTAATCATGTTATTTAAATGATTAGAAAAAATAATATCGTCGACGGATAGGAGAAAAATCTAGAAATTTGATTTATTATTCTTCTCTTGTTTTCTTTACGACAATCAAAGAAATAACGTTAAGTTGTTAATCTAAATGTTGTTTAAGAATAATTTAATTCTTAGATTTTTTTTTTTTTTTTTTTCGAAAATATAAAATAGATAGTTATTGAATCGATGACGAAGAAAACAAGAACTCGATATTCTACTTTTGATCACCAATATTGATCTATTTGAAAACATCTAGTCATCTCATCTACAGGTCCACTGGAATGTTATATTTCCAGTACTCATTCATGTTTCAACTAAAAGAATGTTTAAAGTTATTCTTTCAGACTTTGTAAAGTGTAATGAATATTAAAACGTGAGAAAATTAAATCTGTAGTAAAACATTATCATTATGTACTTTCCAACATCGATTATTTTAACAAAAAATCGACTTTTCCGATGGGAATAAGAGCTATAGTCTGTAATCTTTGTAATATTATCGATTATTTTAAAAAAAGTTGTAAGAACATCTCTTGTCATTTAATTTTAAACACCTGTTTCTCTCTTCGTTGCTTTTTAGCTTTTTACATATCTGAATGCTGTGAATTCTAATATTGAAATGAGAACAAAAAAAGACTTACAATTTTGAAGGGTAAAAGTTAAAACACTCGACAACCGTCTATAGAAAGAGCATCAGCACGCAACGAGAACAACCACAGACATTTTTTATTGAAAAGAACAACAAATATTTCAAATAAATAAGAAATAGGTTTTTTCTTGTCTAATAAATTTCGTTCCAATTACTACGAGACGAATATATGAATAAAAAAAATGGTTATGATATACTACAATCTTTGTGATAAGAGGAAAAAACAAGTATCAAACCAGAAATTGGACTACATCAATAATAAAACGGAATAGAAAGAGTTTCTGAAATAAATTTTTAAAAATTTAGACTAAAAAAATCACCTATTTTTGTGAAAGACACAATAAATAAAAAAAATGAAAAGATTTTCTTAAAATGTATTAAGTTTATTTTCTAAATGATTTCTCAATCTATCAAAGAAAATTACAGTTAATCGATAATGGTGCCTATGCCGACGAGATATGTGTTTTAGAACAAATACATGTTATTTTAAAATCATAGAGAGAGACAATTTTTTACTGGTTCTGTTTAGCATAAATGCATTAAAAATTTAGAACAGAACCATCAGAATGTAAAACGAAATAAGGATAAAAAAGATTCTACGACTGAATCTTTGCATGGAATATAACAGAAGAAAGTTAAATGAAGGAAAAATTATCAATACTAGGATGATCGACTTTTCTTTTAATGGCTGTTCGATCTGTTCGTTGAATAGATAAGAAACTCGTATTAACAAAGCAAGTATAAGCAATTACTTGTTGAATATTCGGTCGTTCTACCAGTCATATGTAAATATGTCAAGAATTAACTTGTGTGCGTCTTGTTCACGTTCGTATACACTGTAAGGTTGGAAATTATTTATGAAAAATGCTAAGAGAATTTCACAGAGTACCTATAGGAAGTCTTCGAGGATTTCTCAGTTTATAGAAAATCATCGTTGAATTTCCATAAATAATTTCCAAGAAAGTAGAAATTACTTTTTGATTTTCTATAAACTGGAAATTCCTTGCACTGAGTGGCGGCACGATCAAGTTGTATTAGGGTTGTTCCCGCTCCCTCATGCTTTCGAGAAATTTCTGGTGAAACATCTCAGATTTTGGGACTTTTCTATCGAAACTTCGCGCCATCACTGTCTCTGCCTAAATCAAAATTCTTGCTGGCATAGTCAGAATTGTGATCTAAAGTAGAAACTGTCAAAGCTGATGTAAGTGTAATATGAGTGTCTTTACGTGAATCTCTTATACCTACACTGATTGCAAAACAAAAAGATGAATAAGTATTTGGTCTAAAAATTCCTGGGCGAATTTCCACTTTCTAGAAAATCGATCGAATTTCTATAAATAACTTCCAAGAAACCCAATGTCGAATTTCCAGTTTATAGAAAATTAAAATCGAATTTCCAGATTCTTGGAAATTATTTATGGAAATTTGATTTTCCTGCCGATTTTTCAGTCAATTTTCTATAAACTGAAAATTAATTTAAGATTACAACGTAATGGATTATTTCAATGTAATGCCAATTTTTTATGCTAAAATAAGATGTAGACAAGGTGGCGTTTTTAAAAAAAATCTGATTACTGAAATGGTACTGCAACAAGAATCTTTTTTCTCTAGTGTATGGTAGAGAACAATAAATGCATTGTAAAGAAACAATGCAAATCGATGATTTAATCACATTGAGTGAACATAAGAGTTATATGCATCTTGGATAATTAATCAAAGCAGATGGATCTGATATTTATTCACGTCGTATTCAAAAGTACTAAAGTAATGTGTTTGTTTTCAACGAAAGAAATAGCTAGAGGCGAACATTTTGTGTTAGACTAATTACTTGTTTGAATATTAGCTGATTAGTTTTATCTCCTTTGAATGGCATTACTCCGGTGACAAATATGCGTAAAATCACATCTATAGAAAAACAGTAATGATTCCGTTCTCGAAACACTTTTTAATACGCAATAACTTTACTTATTGCCTATATATGTGCTGATTTAGGATTGTACAGTAATCTCAATAGAATTTCTGGTGATACGTATGATCGTGATGCACAATAGGTACGACTTAAGTATTCTTGAGATTCGAAAACATCTTTTGAATCAAAGTCATGCAAATACTTAACAGCATCACATAATTGATACAACTATAATGTTTGTTTGTTTTTGGAAACGGAATCCACTCTTTGGACATAGGCAAATAAGTCTCCACCGATGACATATTCCAATATCATGAATATTTTTCCAGATTCAATAAAGTGATCATACATTTTGACAATATTTTGATGGAATACGCGTAGTCATATATCAAGTTCTTGGGAAGAGACTTTTCTTGAAAATCTTTCGATGGAGTATTTCCATTTAGTCCGCCCATCATTACATGACATAAAAGCCGCAAAAATGTCGATACTCTTGTCATGTAGGGCATAGAAAATTACACAGAGTGGGACATACTACACGAAAGAGCAACTCAAGTAGTACCAGTACTGGTATTAAAAACTTGTCTTACTACTCTCACAGGGGCACAAAATGGCTGACAATGAGAAAACGGCATTCAGTAATTTACCTCTTCTGAACGCAAAACAAAACGAAAGATTCTTTTATTGTAGATGAAAATATAACTGAAGAGCTGTCTAATCTAATGGAAAAAGAATTAACTCAATACCTATTTTTCTCTTTGAGTATGGCATCCATCTTTGGAGATCCTATTTCAGAAAGAGTCAACTTTCGGTCCCTTTAGCACAAAAAGTCTTCAGTCAAATTTTTTCATTTTACTCTTATTTCCTACAAAGTCCTACAAAATGGCGGCAAATGTTTTTTTGGCTCGCTTCGTTTTTACTCTCGTTTACCCATTACAAAAGTCAAAAATATCGATTTCATATTTTCGCTGCTTTTTACTCTGTTAAAAAATTCTATCTTCTGAATATTTTCTTTGTTTCTCTCATTTCCACATCATACTAAATTTTATAGTTTTCTCGACAATTGTACAGTTTAATGAAATAAAAAAGATACCGAATATGTGCCTTGTGAAATTCCACAAGTCGGATATATTTACATGTTGAACGAATCAGATTTTTAAAACTGAGGATATCCTTGTACAAAGCGGCAAAAGTTACATAAAAAAATGTGTTTTATAGAATTTATAGTAAATAAGGATTGATTCTTGAAATTTCTCAAAAAGCTATTTTTTCTAGTAAATCTGACAAAAACCTTACTAGAACTTCGTGAATGCAAATCAAAATAAGTGAAAAATATATTCCTGCTGATTGAGTATTAAGTGTTAATATATTTAAATAAATAAGATACTCAAAACCACAACATCAAATACGAAAATTAATTTAACGAATAAATAACGATTCCTCTACACTTTTTTTCGAGATAAAAATAAATATGTTATGTACAGCAAATTTTTGTATCAATCAATAACAATAAAAACATTTCAATCGCTCAGACTTTTCCAAACAGACAAATTTCTTCTTTAATCAACATTTCAAAAAATATTCAGAAAACTAACGTTTACATTTAATTCCCAAATTATCTATCATGCCAGAAAAATAATAAATAGTAGAAAACAAATAATCAGCACAGCAAATACTTTAATAATTAGCCAACGATTCGACGTTACAGTACGATAAAACTTTAATAGTTCTCCATGAGCTCCTTCAATATGAATTGCAGCATCATCAACGTTAGCGTCGATTCTAGAAATAGATCATATAACTAAAAAGATCAAAGTGTTTCATTGTCAAATTACCTGTCTACCAATTCTTGTTGTTCTGTAACGATTGTTGAAAGTTGAGTAAAAATGTCTCCAAGCTCAATAATTGTTTGCTCAATATTTTGCATCGCTTCCGAACGGCTTGCAAGGTACGTATCCTAGAAGAAACATTAAGTACGGTTATGGTTACACTTTGACACGTTTAATCAATCAATCACACATTCTTACTGTTTCATCAGTAATTTGTAATTGTTTCTGAGAATAATTTTGAGATGGTGCACTACCCATATTAATAAAAGAATCTCCGTTCGCTTGTTTATCATCACGCAACAACAAAGACGGACGTCCTAAAAAAGTAAGTACAATGTTAAAGTAGTAGATGTAGCACCCAACTAATCCATTATACCATTCATCGATATCGGATGTCCAGCAGATGCAACGGTATTTTTTGAGAAATTATCTCTCCGAGATTTTTGTTCTTTCAAATTCTAGAAGACAAAAAGTAATTTTCAAATTTTGTAATGAATCTCTCATAAATGGACTCTATTTACGTGTGTACGAGCTTCAAGAACTTGTTTAAAGTCGTTAGACATGATGGCCAATTTAGACTAAAATACACAGTTTAAACATTGACAGATTGAAGTAGAACGAAAAACAGTTTGACTATACCTGTAACACGAAAACGACGGAATTAGAATGAGTTTGTGAGTTTTTCGATTTTATTCCATTTGTACTGTGCATATACTAAATGAAAGAAAAAAAAATATTAAAAAAAATAAGAGAAAAGTAAAGTCATATAAGTACCTGTTGTAATTGAGCAATCTGTTTATTCAAATTACCAATATCTTGTTTGATAGCTGATGTTAAATCTTGAATTTCTGCAGATTTATCGTGGAATAATGATGATTGTTTAGCAACTAAATAATAACACAAAATGATACTTTGATATTTGATAATAAATGGTTTGTATACGACATACTTATTGTTAACTGTTCTAATTTAACAAATGTTTGTGATAGATCTTGACCAATTTGTTTGGCTGATTGCATAAATTGATGACTTTGTTGAATAGTGGATGCTGTTTTTTTTGTGGATGGTGCTGGCGGAATCAATGGACGAACATAATCATTCTACAAATCAAATAAATGTTGTGAATAGTAAATTAATATTAACGTTTAACATCTTACTCTCCGACTCTGGAATGTTTTTACTGTAGTCAAAAATTCATTTGTACGATCACGACCGTTCGACATTATTGTAAGAATTGTTTTTTCAGTAGATGAATTGTTATTATTTGTTAAAAATAGTGATGGTTGTGGCAAAGATTGTACAGTTTCAATGAATACGGGATGAACTTTTGTTGTTTGTGGTTGATAATTATTATATGAGATCTGTTGACTATTATCTTGTTTAGTTATTGTTTGTAAACGACGACGTGTCTCCATAAACGTTTATAAAAACTAAAATACAGACAATATATTTAAATTTAAACATGATAAAAATATTTTAAATTCTTGCATACGCCGCCTACTAATAATTTGTTAGTCATTCTATGAATGAATCATTAACAGAAGAATAAAATCTAATAGGAGAATCTGAAAAACAAAATTTATTGTACAATATATCTCACAAAAGCTATTTTACTCGTGTTATATTTAGCGTTTTTATACAATTTAATTCTTTGCTAAGAAAACGAACAACTAAGCATAGCTCAATATAATATAAAGTAACTTTTTTTTGTTTGTGTACTCTTTGCTCACAAATAACAACAGTGAATGAGAGAAAAGTAAGAGAAAAACATGAATTTGCTATATATATTATTACTCTACAATTTAATTCCTGTTTAAGAAACACATACGAATACATAGCGACAGATAAAGAAAAAAATATGACTACGCTCATTAGAAGAAGAAAAAAAACAGATAAAAAAACCCAAAGAAATGTTATTTTTTATTACCAGAAATCAATCGATGAAATTAAACAACTAACAGTGTAAATTGAAATAAGGAAAAACAAAACTGAATTGCACTTTCACACTCTCGGACTTTTAAAACTTGATCGCCGCAAATTATAATAATAATATTTAACGAGAGAAAAATAAATATGCTGAAAATACTGGCGAAGTAAAAATTAAACAAGCAAATGTTGATCACATCAACTTTTTCGTATTAAACGGATCGAATTTAAATAATATCATTTGACTCATTGATCACTTTTTCGATTAGCTATTGAGATTCTCGTGCAGTATAAAATGCATGATGAATACGACACATTAGATTGGTCTATTGCACTAAAAAAATTTTTTCGCTATGTTGTTGATGCCATTGAAATAAGTAAACTTATCTTAAAACAAATTAAAATATGAAAAGATAATTCTAAATGATTTTGTTTAGCTAAATATTCAATACCTGTTCTTGAGATGGACATGAAATAATCTGAAGATCTTCTTCGCTGTAATGATCACGAATTAATATAATTAATTCCTGGTACGTTTGCTGAATGTTTGTCTAAAGAGAGATAATAAATGATATCTAAAGTTCGTATTCATAAATAGATCTCTAGGACAAAAACATCAACAAAATTTCGTGAACACTTAAAAAGAATCAGAATGAGCAGTAGTTTTAGTTATAATAAGTCTCTTATTTTCTGATTCGCGTTCCTCGATTTGAACTCATTTCCTGGTACAGCTGTCTTCCTTCAGTACACTCATTCTTCTAATCAGAAACATGTATCTGGAAATTACCATAAAAATAGATTATTTCAAGAGTGTTGATCACAAATATGATGATTTAAATGGCTAAAAAGTGCTAGGTGATTGCTGAGTTATGATGATTCTGTTTTTTTTTATAAATGTGCATTTGATCATGTTTCTTGACAACAACGTTAACTAAATCTACCAACGACATTGTTTTACAGAAACACCCGAGTTACAATTTGGTATGCATCCAAAGTTATACGAATTTTTTAATTGTAATTCTGTAGATGACATGTGATATTGCACGTTTAATATCCTTATCAAGACACATACCAAATTGTAACTCAGATGTTTCTGCAAAACAATGTCGTTAGTAGATTCAGTTAAGCCTGCTGTCAAGAAATATGAGCGAATCAACTTTTATAAAAAAAAACACAGAACATCATAACTCAGCAACCATCTAGTAGTTTTTAGTAATTTAAACCATCATATTTGTGATCGACACTCTTGAAATAATCTGTTTTATGGTAATCTCCAGATGCATGTTTAGGCGATCTTTCCTTATTAATCGATCATATAAAAACATACTTTGATAGGTTTAAACAGTATTTGTTCGGTATCCTTATTAGCTAAATATAAACTCATTGTTTTTAAAACATCAGGCAAATTTTTTTTCAAATAGTTATAATTTTCAATAATAATTTCATGTAATACATCTGGTTTTGCGAATGGTTGTTGTCTTAATGATACTTTTTGTATGTTTGTATTATTATTTTCATCATTCATTTTTAAAATGACTTCTGCTTTTTGTAAATATTGTCGTATGTTACCGCATAATTGTGTTGAAACATCCGATATATAACTTTCACACGATTGTTTCAGTTGTTTATCAACTTCTCGTTTAGAATCGATAAAACTTTCTTTAACTTGTAATGTGCCTTGTAATAAAAAGTCTAAAAATGCATTATCACGTTGTAACGATAACATTTTTGATTTTTTTGTTAAAAACTTCATGGCCGCTTCTTTTAATTTTGAAAAATCTAAAACCATCTCTTTTACAGCAAAATCGATGTTGAATGGAGCAATTTGTTCACGTAATATTAATAAATGTTTTATCAGAAATAAACGTCCATCACATAATGTTTTTCGTTTTATTATTAAATCACTTGCTTTTATTAATGATTGAACACACATCGTTAACGTTTCTTGAGATAAACCTTGAAAAATGTTACGCTAAAATAAAAGTTCGAAAATAGACAATTTATTTAATTTAGTTTTTACACTTACATCTAGACACCGAAATAATTTTGACAAACAAACTAGTGTACGTCTTACAGTCGGATACCACATTCCGTGTAGATCCGCTGGAGATGCTTTCGGACTTTGACCATCTTTTGCTGGTAGGGATGAGATTGATGAAGGAATGGGTTCAAAAATTGTTTCAAAAAATACTTCTGTTGAATTAGAATCAGTTGAAGACTGTGATGGATGTCTGACCAAATGTTGTTCTTTTATTGATTGAGATATTTTCTAAACGAAAACATATATCAATCGTCGTAATTTCTTTCATAATAAACACTTAGAATATTTAAAGTATTTTTCTTGTTTTAAATAAATGTGTAACTATAATTTGAAGAGATTCTAGTCATTTAAAACAGAAATATGTACCTGCATCATTTCTAATTTTTCTGGATAGGCAACATCACCAGGCGATGGATTATATTTTAAAATTTCATCACGTATATAAACTTGTGTCCGATAAACAAGACGCTCTTGAACATCTTCTAACATTTGCGTACAAATAGCTTCAAATGTCGATAGTTCTTTAGCTATAATAAATAAAATGAATTATTATACACTATTATCGATTCATAATATTCTCGGTATATTTTACCACTGGGCTTCACATGTTCTTCAATCATTTCAATTTTTAATATTGTAACTAATTCTGCTAATGTTTCCAAATGGACAACATGAATAATGCGAGATCGTAATACATCATACAGTTGATTACAAAATTCAGATAACATTGTGCTAAAATGCGAAGAAAACATGTTGAAAAATATTTTTTAATTCGAAAATTCTTTTTTCAAGATCTTACTCTACTTGAGAAGAACGTTTGGAAAAAAATTGATAGAATAGTTGATATTCATCCTGACATAAATGCAAAACAAATGCACAACCACTTCGAACCTAATTAAACAAAAAAATTCGTATTATAGTACACTCAACTACGCTAAAAAATGTTATATCTTTATACGCTACTCATTCGCTTTAACACTAAGGTGGTGGATATTCAGAATGACACATACCAGAGTACACATATCACGTTCGTGTTTTACGGCTAAATCTTGAATTGCACTAGCTATACTAGAAAGTCCATCACAAAAAGAGATCCATCAGTATTTGCAAAATAGTATCGGAGCTATTTACCTGTATGTTAGCAGCATGCGCCGTTGATTCGTATAACATTCATGACAATCTGTTAGCGTTTTCTCATACCTAAATCAACAGCAAAAATGAATACCGTTTGTTTTGTAATGAAAAAAAGATATATACTCAGGATTTTTTGTACAACGTTGCTCTAATTCTTCCGACAGCACCTTCACTTTGGGTGCATTGATACGAAATCGTCCATAAAACAACGTATATGCATCATCGGACAATAATGTGTGATTCTAAAACATAAATGACAAATGTAACAGTATGAAAATTTTGTTTTGTATCACTATCTCCCACTCTTTATATGTGAATTTATGTAGAAGTGGTTAGACTAATTCTCGTAACGTTTTTTTAAATAGATAGAAAACAAAAGGTATTTTTTTAAGTGTCTCTTCTAAGCAACTTATCATATGTTTTCAAGTTCGAATGGATCAAAATCGATATCGACTGAGAAAGACCTTTCATTTGAGAAAAAAACTCATCAACTGTTCATCATTGAATGCGAATACATCTATAAATTTCTTACGAACTTATTGCATTTCTGACAAAAGCTACTTCGAAGTAAAGTGGAGATCAAACCTCTAATTTTTATAGAAATATTGTGCGAGAAAGAAACTTACCTACCTTACTGGGATCGATATTGTTTGATGAACTTTGTAATGTGTTTATAATATGTTGTTTAATTATTTGTAGAACTCTTGATAGAACTTTTTTCATTTGATTCTTATATAATAATGATTGTTTAAATGTGCTCTGAAAAGAAAAGAACAATTACAGTCCTAAATGAGAAATTAAAGTTGTTCTTCATCATACATGTGTTTCAAAATACGAGATACATTCATCGATACGAGACAACGTTGGAATTAGTTGTTTGATATCTGGAGTTATTGATATTATTGAAAAATTCTGAATGTAGTTGAACATGATTGTTTTTCAAAGTTTCATCGCAAACATCATGTCCTACCTGTGCAAAACGATCAACATCATCAAAATAGGACAGACGATTTTCGATGCATTCGGTTATATTCGAAAGTTTTGCCTAAAGAGACCAATGGCAAATAATAAAAATCATTTCAGAATAAATTTCAATACCTGATCGGCTAGCAATTGTTCACAAGCTTTATATAAAGAATTTGTCTTGTAAGATACTTTTGCATATGTATCATGCAATGTCTCTAAATACTGCACGGCATCATTTAGTTCATTATATAATGCTTTACATTGATTCTCCCATGAACATAAGTGTTGGAATGCACCACTAGAAGAAAAAGAAATGGAGAACTACACTCTGTATGAACAAATAATCTTCCACTACTTACCAAACTTCTTCTGTTTTATTGTTATGCTCTGGTAAAGAACACTTGTTTAGCCATTCATCTAACTACAGGAAAATCAGAACAAGGAAATTGATGGTAATCAAATATTCGTGTTCATTTACCTGCTGCAGATCTGAATTTGTCCATGGCACATTATCCGATTCAGATTCTATTGTTCGTCCTACCTAAACATACGCAGTAGTTCTTTTTGCTGTTTGAATGGAAAAAAAGTGCTTACATTTTCCATCTCAGTTAGCGTCGTTGTTTGTGCACCATATTTCAAATCAATCAGGTCCTTAATTGCACATACTGATTGCCATTGTTTATCTGATAGTAGTGCAAGACATTCACTTTTAGCGTCGCTTCTAGTTTTAGACTCTATTTCACCCTCATTCGAGACAGACGCAGATGAATCATCCCATAAAATTGCTTTCTCAATAAAAAGAGAATTGAAATCACTTTTTGGCAGCTGATTGCTCGCTGATGATTGCACAGTACTGGTCATAACAGAAATTTTGTTTTCATGAATTATAAATCTAAAAGAGAAATACTTATTTTACTAGTAAGACTTGAGAATTAATCTTGATCCGACCACCTATAATATGCCCAAATTTTACCGGTTTCCTTTGGATACTGCCGGAACACAACGGTTAGATTTTACCGCTTCACTTTGTATTCCATTGAATGCCAATAGGGTGTACTATCAATATGAACTGATTGCATCCACTCATTATTTATCTGGCAGAGCAGCAAGTTATATCTTCAAAGCATTCGTTTTCGGATGGGGTCCGCATAGACCCAGGTGGACGGATCAGGATTAACTGGGAAGAACGCACCCATAATAATGAAAAAATTTTGCTGTTTTAAGATGCTTTTGTTTTTTGGGTACTCATAACATTTGACGTTTTACACAATGTCTGCGAGAAAATTTCTCCTCGCCAACCTTTATCTCCTTCCGCTCGACCTAAGTGTATCTGTAAACAACTTGAGTAAAAACCGTATTTTACGCTTTTAGATTGTTTTTATTCTTTCCTTTCCATTTTCTACATATGATCAGTGTTTTTAATAGAAATTGTGGTGGATTTTTCCACTATGGAATCAACACAAGAGGGAAAACAACAACTTTTCACTATACTACAAGGGATTGTCTAATACACCTCACTACGTATCCACTACAAATCCATTATATCTCCGTGAATACTACAGGGCCACTACAAGGTCACTGCAAGACCACTACCGTGGTGAAAAAAGTGTAGTGTAGTGTTGTTTTTCCCCCATGAATGAACAACACAATGGAAGTGTTCATAATCAGATTTACAGTTAGAAACAATGAAAATTTTATAGCCACGGCGCAAATTACAGTGGATTTTAGTCTTTTATGCTAGCTTATAGTAGCAAGCGCCCTTGACCTTCGTATTATTAAAACTATTGAATACAGGAAAGCTTTGTAGTCATCGAATGCCTTATGGGGTAAATGTCCTTAAGATTTGGTTTACGCTTCAAAGCTTCAGGTTATGCATGTTTTATAATCTGTGATACACTGATCCAGTTGGCATGGCATATGTAATGTAAATTTGAAAAAAAAGTCCCGCATTTTCTCTGAATAACATACAAAAAGTTCATTTGATCGTTTAATAAGGTCCGTGAAGTACGGAATCACGAGCTTTTCAACGCGGAAGCTGTTAGCAGGCAGCTACTTGATTTTTCACGTACTTTACTCCATAATTGCATGTCATGGAGCTAACTGACAGCTCCTAGGTTGAAAAGCTCGTGATTCCGTACTTCACGGACCTTACTACATGATCAACCGAACTTGTGTATGTTATTCAGAGAAAAGTAGGTGAACAAATCACGGACTTTACGAGACATCATCAAGTACCTTCTTTTTCTTATACGTGGTACTGATTTTGATAAGTGGTCATTTCTACCAATTGTCATCGAGAGAGGCGCTAAAAAATTATAAAGATTAGATGTCGCCATGAGTCTGCGAGATGGAAACGCGCCTACTTCTGAAAAGTATTTTGCTTAGACTAACAATAATTTCTTGTGCAAAATTTTACTGATGAGCCGCTGTTGTCAATGTTTATCTTAGCCAAATTCTGTGTAAACTAGCTACGTGTCATGACTGAGTGATTTGCGAATAGTCTATTTTGGCGATTGTTCTAAGCAGGGGACTGTTTCACAAAACAACTAAAGTGCGGCCTGTTTCTGAAAAAAACTTAAGTATAATTACCTGTTTACTTAAGTGAAATTTTTCACTTACGTAAAACTTAGCGCCGCTCCCCTCCAGGAAAATACTTTTTTATCTTACATCCGATTTCGATGACGCTTACAGTGGTTATGGCCTACTGTCTTATTAGCTTATGCTAAGAATTCGCGATCGAAACGTTGAAGCGCTGCCGAGTTATTACGTGATAAGGGCAAAATGGGGCTCTTAGCAAAAACGTAAAGACTTTTTTGTTGGAAGCTGCAGAAAGCTGCAAGTGGTCTCAAATGAAAGTAGACACCTAAATCTAAAGTTTGACCCGAAGCGATTTTTGAATTTCGCTTCCGTTCATTAAGTCAGAACTCTGAAAATAATCCTAAACTCGGAGGGTACTTTTCACTTTTCGCAGAAAATGAAATTCAAAAATCGCTACGGATAAAAATTTAGATAAATGTCTTAGCTTCAGAATAAAAAAAGAATGTGAGTTTTACGACGAATTGTCTAGGAGGAGGTACAACTTTGCTGCGCCAAAACCATATTCTAACTAATGACGTCATTACTTCATTAATTATAATTCAGCGCCTTTAGCAAAACTAGTATAACTCTGCAAGACGAAGTCGTACAAATCTACGGATATCTCATTTTGATCAGAACATTCTCCTCAACATAGCTCCATGTTTGTTAAAACGGACGAGCTTAAAAATTTTAATTAAAATATGAAAGTTAGGAAAAGGTGATTTTTAGGGTTTTCAGAAATCTTTTTCAAAACCTCCAGAACCATTGAATTTTTGGCAAACTGGGATGGACTCTGAAAAATGACACTTTGGGATACTGAACCGTATGGTTACTTCATTTTCGAAGGTTTTTTGAAGAAAAAATCGAATTCTTGAGAGGGGCCCCTTAAATTCTTTTGGAAAACAGGCCCCAGAATCTGTGTGTTCTCGAACGAAAAGTTCTGGAACCAGTTTCATCAAAAAACTTAAGTGTGACTTAAGTGTATGACTTAAGTCAAACTTAAGTAAAAAGTCAGACTTCACACTTAAGTTTTTTGATAAAACTGACCCCTGAACTGCTGGTGTAATCTTCCAGTATATCTGTAATCAGATTTTTATCTAGCACACTATATCACTCTTTTTCATTGATATTAAAAAGAATCCATGGTAACAAAGATTCTCTTTAAACCTTCTCTTTTTATCTGATTAATATTGTTGTCTAATGTCTAATGAGATAAAAATCATTGATAAATTCAATACGTATATAATTACTTCACTCTGATATCGTTTAAAATATTTAATGCGTTTTGTTAACAAATCAATGTTGCAGTGTGTTGATGTAAAATGTTCAAAAGTTTTGACACAAAAAATAATACAAACAATAATTATAAATTGAAGCGATTGATATTTCCTCTTCTCTTTATTATATTGGGAGAGAAGTGTTCTACATGGTCTCCCGTACCTTCGCCCTGTCTCATTCAACTTCCTCATCGAAAAATAACAATCGGTCATGATCCTTTGCGAATTAATCATGATATTCGTGACGAACACAGTTGCGAACAGTTGTGTTACAAAAATCGAAGATGCAAATTAGCTTCGTTCGATAAACAAAAGTATTTGTGTTATTTATTTGATCGCTATCACGATAGTCATTATCAGACACTAGGGCATCATCACTCTCAAAACTCAGATTCAATCTCAACATTTGATAGTTGTGAACATATACCTTTGTTCTCGAACATCGATCATGCATACATTTCTAATGCTCGATGTACTTATGATTCTTTCCCATGGCAAACAACTCGATCATCCAACTCTCTTGTATTGAAATCTTATACATTCATCGGTACATCTTATTTACCCTGTCAAGAATTATGTTCGTCGGTGAGATATTGCGTCGGTGTTCAATTTGCTACACGTGGACGGTATCAAAATAGATGCAAATTGTTACGATCAACGAGACCATGGGATCTGATACCAAGTAAAACATGGACTGTGTTTGCTAAACGTAATTGTCATACTCGAATTTTTCGTCCCAATCACTTATCACATGACACATTACCACCGTGTAATTTTCGATATTTTGGTTTGGGTCGCCATGGACATTATCAATCTGTCATTCATGTTTTTCCTCACATATCTGAAGTACAATGTCAAAATCTATGCAGCAGAATGAAAAATTGTATTGGTGTCGAGTTTACTAAAAAATTGTCACGTAAGTCAAATTTTAACTATAATTTTGGTTAAATAAGATTCTCTTCTATATCTCTAATTTAGATTTTGGTTATTTTAGGTTGTACACTACTTTCTCCCAATTTTTTTCGAGCTGATGGTAGTTTCGATGTCAAACGTCCCCATCATCATCACACGCACATATATATGAAAGTTTCATGTGAACAAATAAGTTATACAATAAAAAATCGAGATGTTTGTCAAAGGAAATCTGATTGTAGTTTTTATCATCAACATGAATTTCAACATCATTCTTGTCCCTGTCATTATGGAGTGTGTGTACCAAAAACGAATATATGTACTTGTCATGCTGGTTATTATGGAAAATTATGTGAATATCCGGTTCATCCGTTTTATGTGTTCTAATACATGTACATGTCATTCACATTTTCCTGTGTCTATGTCTATGTTCAAATGAATTTCGAAATGATTTTTGTTAATATAGTCACGATGCTTTTAGTACGAATATTTTGTAGATAAAATAAATGAAAAACTAATTTATAATTCCGTTTCGAGACGGAATAAGCTCTCAGTACAATGTAAGTAATATCCTGTACTACATGTGTACTCATATAATCAATTTGTAAGTAGCAAAAGCAAGTGAACAGATAAATGTATATTCCTCAAAGTCTTTTGTAACATTTGTTCGAAAATTACAATTAGATTATTATCAAAAGAGATTCAAGCTTTATTTCGGAATATTTAAAGTATAGATAGATGATGACAAAAATTTCAAGGAAAAAGAATTCTAATGACCTGTAGCAAATAACATTCGTATTGAATAATTTAAACAAAATTGTTTCATGTGACCAGATAATCGACAATATCGATATAAAATATTAGCATTGCGTGGTGATCGACGAGTTATAGATCGCTCTCTTTCATCTGAATAGTTGTTTTCTTCTAAGTCATCATCATTAGCATTATAATCAAATTGATATTTTGAGCATATGACATAAACTTGTGTTTTGGAATAATCATTATTCATTAACAATTTTCCATATAATACATCATCGCTATCTTCATTTGTCTCAATAATCCGTTTCAATGTATCGTAATAAACAGGTATACAGTCAACTTTAAGATGAGACGATATATTACGTTTAGAAATGAAATAATTTGATGGTATTGCCTATAGAATAATAAATAAATGATCAGAAATGTCTATGCTGATATGTTCTAATCTTCTATACTTACTATGATCACCGTTCCATATATTAAAATGATAAAACAACACAACCATGTCTAAAATTAATAAATTTTTTAGTTAGCTATCTTATGTGAGGATCAAATCTTTATCTTGTCAACGTTTACTGTAAATTATATCTAAATTGGACTGTTATCAGAGTTTGACCAAGCTCTATAAAAGTTGATAAAATAAGTAAATAAACTTACACTTACTGTCATGTTTTTTTCCTAAACTGGTATCGAACCAAATTGGATATCAACAATTCGATACCGTTCATTAAACATTTATAGACGTTCACTGTTTTGTTGATGTAAGACGAGGTGGGTGGTTTACTAATTAAAATCGAAGAAAAAAATAATAGTAGAGAAAGAGAAAAAAAAGAATAGAATACTACGTACTAAATGCGTTATATCTTAAATTTCAAAAATTATACGATTTAGATATAGTAGTAGAAGTGAGAGAAAATTATTTTTTATAAAAATAGAAAACGATTATACTCCTACACTCTGCGTGTTCAAAATTATCTACGTTTAATTTTTATAAGAAAAGTCAGGTTCTTACGAAATAAATAGTTTTATATTTACTTATTTGTTTTTTTATTTTTTCATTTTAGTCATGTAGAGACTGAAGACATTATAAATATCCTATACAATGATCTATGCAACTTTTTTTATGTTCAATTAAGATCAAAAAGTAAACTCACATACTTTTTCTGTGTTGATTATGATTTTATCTTTTTATTGTATTCATCAACCTATATCAGTCTAAAAAATTAGCAGCACAGCGCTGTTTAATTATTATTTCCTTGACGAAAGTCAAGTTCCTACGAAATAAATAGTTTGTTTGTCTGTTTACATAGCAGTGTATATGGAAAAATATGATGTTATTCGAAATTTTCAAAAATAATAACCAAACATTTTAGACGCTGTTTATTTTTTTAGACTGGTATATGTAGATGAATACAATAAAAAGGTAAAATCATAATCAACACAGAAAGAGTATATCAGTGTACGTTTTGATATTAATTCAATATAAGAAAAGTTGCATAGATCATTGTAAAAAATATCTATAGTGTCTCGAGTCTCTACAAACAAACACAAGTGTCAAATTTTTTTCCTATCAATAACAACACATAAAACGTCAAAGAATCGAATGAAATCATATATGAACGTTAATTGGTTAAATAATGATGATATATTTCTTATGCAATACTATGAAGGATAAAAATAGCGGGACAATAAAAAGCCATGCACAACGTTTTAATTTGATGTTCTGAGAAAGAATGATGAATATAGCGCAACATCTGCCAATAAATTGTTTTATTTGTTGAGATTTCCGTTCAATTTATTTTTTAGAATGTTTTCTTTTTCTTTTTTTCTTTTCTTGACAAATGAAAATAGTGTATTTCTATTATTCTTTTCGAAAGAGATTTCCACACATTCCATATTGAAAATAATAATTATATAATCTCACCAACTATGGTCATCATCATCAAACCCGATTAAATAAAACATTGAAATAGAAAATGACTATATGTAATCCATGTATGTCTATTCCCGTAGGAGGAGAATAATAATGGAAAAACAATGCACTTTTTTTTCTATTCTTCTCTTATTCACTCACAGCTAAAGTGAATTGGAACATGACAGATTGAACTTTGTATGCTAATGACATGAATACAAGAAATACTGTGTTAAAAAGAAATTGTTCATCAATAAAGAAAAAGAATGTCTGATTATCTAAAATAGAATTCGATATATGGCATAGTTTGTCATTAGTAAAAGAAGAAAACGAACCCAATAGGGATTTAAAATATTAACTGACTGGTTTTTTACAAGAACGAAAAAAAAATTAACGTCGAAATTTTTAAATTTAATTATTACGATTGTCAATGTTTATGAAAATATCCTTGTGTTTGAAAATAACGACAAGAAAACAATTCATACAAATAAAATATGACTACTTTTTAGGGATTATTACAAAAATTGATTTCAGTCGAAATTTATTAACAGCCTACATACATTTTAATATTTCAAAATGTCACAATTGTGTAGTGCATATCCGTAGAAGTGGAAATCATAAAATAAAACTCGTGGCAGAAAAAACTGTGAATGGAATAAACGTAAGAAAAAATGTAGAAACTGATATGTATAGAAGAAGATACGAGAGAAAAATCCGTGAGTATAGAAGTCATTCAACTCTTCTTTTTTTTGTCCCTATAAATAGCATCGGTATCAATACAAAAGTTTAGAAGTTTCTTACCTCCTTTGGTGAACAAGTCATTAAAACTTGACAAAGTAGCCGTCCTGAGGACTGATATTAATAATCAGCATCGACCAGAGCTGCCAATGCAAAAGCTAAGAAATCAGAAAAGCAAAGTGTCAAAAATCAGAAGACGTATTTTTTTGCCCAAAACACAGGAGAGATGATTACATCTTAATTTTTTTTAAACTGATTCTTATTTGCCTCTTTTTTTTCTTTCTTTGTCCCGTATGGTTTATAGAAGAAATTCAATTTCACCTGTATTTGGAGAAGAAAACTGTTCTATTTTTTAACAGTTCATACATATATGTTACAAATTCAGCTGAACAGAAAAAACAAATCAATGAAACAAACGATTTCACTTAATACTCAGTTTTTTTGGTTTATGTTTATATTTCTGTTGAGATCGTACTGTTCTGTATTCGACAAAATAGAATCGTAAAATTGTTCACAAGTAATAGTCGCGCTATTCACAGTTTTAACATGTTTATCTAAATCACTTTTTCCTCCAGCACGAACGGAAATGTCGGCGTGTTACAAGCTGAATATCTTGCTTTAGTTTCATCATGATTAGTTAATCAAAAAGCTAAAGCAAAAAAAATTAAGGCTAGCAAAAATTCTGAATATTTTGAATCTTTCAACCAATCTTTACTTTTAAAAACGCGTTTGTTTTTTCACTTTATTTTTATTTTCTTTGTTTTCAATTGGACCTATGAGAGCTTTAGCGCGCATAACGTCAGTTGATAATTCTATCACATTTAAGAAACGAGCTAATCTAAAACGTGTTGTTTGTGTTCCAAACTGGTCGTTTGCAATGTCATTACCAACAACCCTCTCATTCGTGGGAATAGTGTTATGAACACATCCAATTAAACCAATAACTCAAGTAGTGTAGACATACATGAAGATATTACGTTAGCCTTTTCCCCAGAAATTATCTTCTCCAGCACTAATTAAAAAAGTTAAAAATCAGAAAGCGAGCAGAAAAAACCTCCAAAATCAAAAGAGTTGGCAATCCTGTTCAGGACATATTCATGACGACCGTATCGATTATCTGGTAGAATGGAAAAGGTTTTGCGAGCTAATTAGTCTAATCCGATAAATTAGAGTGTATAGGATTCTTTCGGTCACAACAACTTTTATGTGAAAAAAAGCAAATCTACCCAAAATCCGTCCACAAAAAAAGCATGAACCAATAACATTAAAAAAAAGCGTAGATGCAAAAACCGTGAACTGATAAAAGCGTGAAGAATATCGGTAGAAAAAATCGTATAGGAAAGCGGTATTAAAAATATGTGGACAAGAAACGTTAGGCTTTTCATAGTTTTTTTTGCCATGCATCATATACTAATTCAATAGGGTAATTTTTGGCCTTTTCAGAGAGGAATCAGGTGTTACATTAGAGTCAAGACTCGTTCGCTATTAACAAGACTTTAAACTTCTCTGGCTATAGAAAAAGATCTAGTGAAGTACATTATTTGGCAGATGAAATGTGCTGTTGGCATGTTGTCGTCAAACAAAGATTGTTAATCAACCTTAGTACTAACTCTTTGATAAAACAATATGCCTCAGTAATTGACATGCTGCGACAAATTTTATTGCACGACTGCATCTATCTCCCTTTGAATGTTCTCGACAACTTCTAAAACTACTAAACTGTGCTGATACAAGAAAACCACATGAGAAAGATGGATTCAACTGGGAGAGTCATCTTTTGTCTTCTGAGTTAAACCATAGTGTATTGAGAGAGAGTGAGTGAGTAATCCAGAGAACCTGTTCATGTTTAAATGTATGCAAATTAATAAGAATATTTCGTGATACATTTTATATTAGTTTTAAATTAGTAGTTAATACCCAGAAAATGAACCATAATCTTTTTGAAAGAATATAGAAAAGGATAAGCATCGCTTTATACAAAAAACTACTGATTGACTTTTTATATTGGATCAAATTTGCACAAGTACAAAAAATATTGAGTACGAGAACATTTTTAACTGTTATAGCAACTGCGATCTATTTAGAGATACAAAGCAACTTGTATATTTTTGTCGATTGTGTTCAAGAGAAATAACTAGTTTATCACTTTACATAAAACAAGCAATATTTCTCTCTGAATTAGTGTTCACTACACATAGAAAAAATATCTCATTTGTTTAGTCAAAGTCCAATAAGTAGAGGGAGAACCAGAGCTGGGCAAATCAAAAGTCATAGGTCATAAAATTTTCTCTCAAGTCAAGTCTCGGATTTTTCCAAATCAAATCACAAGTCATAATTTAATATTTTTTTCGTAGAAAAATGTTCAAATTTTAGTGGACTCCGATTCATTTTTCAGCCCAAGTCACAAGTCAAGTCTTTTCAAAAGGCTCCAAGTCAAGTCGAGTCATAAATCATAAAATAATTTACCAAGTCAAGTCACTTTTGACTTGACGCCCTAGTCACATCCGCGCTTTATTCCTGCCGCGAATTTTTCGCGTTGCGCTCGCGCTTCAAGTCTCATCGTGTTCTCGGTTAAGATTAAGTTGCGCTCGTGCTTCAAAACAAATCGCGTCATGTTCGAGATTTAAATCAGATTATATAGCGTTCCCGGCTGATCGCATCGCGTTCGCAATTTATATCAAATGATCTTCTCTCTGCTGACATACAGCGAATTGAAATCTTGCATTATTAGTCTAATACATGTTCTATCCATATCAAGATTGGGCGCGTTTTTCCACTGGGGGTTAGTTAGTGTTAGTCTTTCACTAGGGTCACACTACAGCCTTAATCACGATTAAAATTAATCATGATTAACGATTTTGTAGTGTGACCACATCCTTGTGACCCACAACCATTTTAAATCTTATAAACGTGTATAGCATAAATTCTGACTTATGTAGATTTCCTTTACACGTCTATCCCACGTGTATGATACACCTGTAAACGAAATTTAAGGGTACCCCCCCTCTTTTTTGATCCTCTTGGAAACCAGAAACGCCGATGTCGGATCGGGGTGAAATTTATAACAGAGATAGAACATCGAAAAAGAAAATCGATATGTTTTTACACAGAATTTTGTGACATATTCTTCTATGGGTTTTCTAGAAAACTCTGGTTTTCATGTAGTCACATTACGACCCCTCGAAAAAATGGTCCGATCGAGCTCAAAATTTTACCACAGATACTTCAGGCCCTATCTCAGGTTCGTTTTTCTTTTCAAAAAACATGCTTTCCTTCTCGAGATATCCCCAAAATGCTGAAAGTCACGCAAAAAAACTCAGTAAGTTTTTTTGCGTGACTTTCAGGATTCTTTCAGGAAAAATTGTGCAAAGATCTCAAAATAAAAATGCATAGAAGGAAGTGAGAAAGGAATCAAAGGTTGATGTTTTTATAAGAATTGTGAATATCCTCGGTGTAAGATCGCTTTGCTGTTAGTGACTTTCAGTTCGGTTCTGTTCAACACACAGAGAATTGAGGCTCAGCCATTCCGCCTCATTCACAGATTATTAGACTAGCTCTAACAACGAACGGATCCTGGCGCAAATATCTACTGATATACATTCTCTGAAAGTCCAAGTATGAATGTTTTCTTCATATACGACAAACGTTACCTTATCGGTAATATTCGCAAACGAACCATAAAACAGCAACCGTTCTCACTTTTAGTTTGAGACCAAATGCTAGTTATATGTCGAACCATTGAGAGATACATGAGAGAACTTAGCGAAGTCTAAGATTGAAGCTGTTTTAGAAATAACAATCAAAATTTTTCTGATGTTCAACACATCATTAGCATAATTTCTATGAGTAAAGAAGAATTACCCTACAAAAAAATATTTTAACGGCACTGGTGGTGTACGGATGCACACCGGTGCCGAATAATTTTTTTCTGGGCATCGATGCGCATCGATGCCAGAAAGAATGTAAAAATCTCGCACCAGTGCCGAAGTTTTGTTTGCAATCATCATTTTGTTTTGTCAATTTCTGTCTTATTAACATCACAGTATACTTCTAATATTTTGAATATCTTTCTAAATTCATCTTTTCCTTCTCATAAGAGAAGTGCCGAGGCAATGCCGTGTGGTCCATCTGCTCGTTTTAAATGCATCTCATTTTAAAAAGTTCTGCATAAGTTGTTTTGTACCTCTAAATAGATCACATCAACAAGTGTTTTTCACTCATTTCATCAAAAGGCTGTTGTTCACTCATTTTACAACTATCAAGTGATCATTATACAGTTGAAATTTTAATGACAAGTTACAGTCAAAAGGATACAGGGAATCTCCACTATTTGAAAAAAGCAAATAAGTGCGGAGAGACAATGCTGAGCTTATCTACTGAATCCAATCAATAAAATCATTTTTCAACTCTATTTTTGGCTTAAAACTTAAGCTTTCTATTGCAATTTATCCCTATCGATTGATTTTTCTCTTTCAAACAAGCTGCCGATTAAGCTAATCGTGATTAGTTAATCGCGATTAATTCGCAGTGTGTCCGCAACCTATGCTTTATATAAACGCATATATATACTCGTCTAAGATTTTGGAAGTGAAAATAATGAATCAGATACTAGGGTCATACTACAGCTTTAATCACGATTAAAATTAATCATGATTAACGATTTTGTAGTGTGACCACATCCTTTTTTAATCACAGTTAAATAAGTAATGTGACCGTGCTAATATTTTCGCAGAAACGTTAAATTTCAACAGCAGATAATCTTCACTTTTCCTTCAGAAAGGCATCACATTTTAGGTGCTCTTCGTTATTTTGATTCATTAATATCAACGCAAGCGTACATATTTTCACGTGAGAATATGATATAGATTTGAAAGAATTCCAAAATAGTATGGACAAAAGAAACGCATCGTGTAATGTTAATAGGTAATGATGCCAAAATAGATGAGATGTATGACACCATCTTAGCAAGAAATCTGTCACACCGAACGCAAAATTCATCTGAAATCTAGCAAGATATTTCTCTAGTGAACGATCCAGTATTTTTCGCTAAATGAGACAAAATCTTTCTAAATTTTAGCAATTTATGACCTTTCTAGACACTAGTACAGATTTTTACTAAAATTACTGTCAAGCAAAAAAAGCAGTCCTACGAATAAGAATAATTTCCCTCTAGATGCATAATAAGCAGTAAGTAAGTTTAATGCTCCGAAAAATAGAAGGATATCTTCCTAAAGTTCAGTAACAACTGAGAATAATGAAAATTCTCTTGTAAAACAACTTGGCAGCCAAAAAGTAGAGAACTGTTTTTTTACAGTATAGGTTCTATTTTGATCTTTTAATGTTTCCCACAGTTTCGAGAGGGATCATAAATGAAAAGCTGATATTTTTTTGAGATTTTATCTTAGAATAAAAAAGTTTTTTTCTTTATCTGAGAATCTCTTTAAATATCTTCATTAACTTCGAGTACGGCAACATTCGCTCAGTACTGAAATAAGTTTCAGGTAGACAGATTTTTGGAGGTATGGCGCAGATCCTTTGTGATATATAGGTGAACGCTATCATTGCTTAGTATTAGTATGTATATAGTTTTAGAATAAAGGTACATATTATAGCGGCTTCTAAGATTTATTATTTTTTGCACAGCAAAATCATATGCATGGTGCATTTGGGAAAAACAAGATGTTGATTAGAAATAAGTTTAAAAATAAATTCTCTCTTCCTAATTTCTTTTGAATTATTTCTAATTGTCAACTTCGCTTCGTCTTATATTGACTAAATGACGCTGTTGATGATAAAAGTGAATCACTCTGAAAATCGTACTCATATTTGCCTATAGTAGAGCGTTTTTTTGTGCCTTGTTTTGGATCATCACGCATCAAATTACTTAATGTATGCATTTCAAGATTGGTTTTCCATCGTTGTACCCATGAATTTACTCTTGGTATTGTATAACTGCCATAATATTGATTAGAATCAAGAGCTGTATCGTGTATACCTGCACTATGAATTAAATGTCTATCATCTGCATTTTGTGTACCAAATGAATGTTCTCGTTTAATACTTACGCTTGTAGTTTGACGTAATTGAGGAAGACTGAGCGATTTTGTTTCTGTTGCTGTTGTGAGTATTATCGAGTAAGACGATAATGGAGGAGATTTATTCTTCAGTAATCGATTTGAATTTATAATCGATTTCTGTGATGTTGATGTAACGACTCTGCCGTTATCAACTGGTACTAATGACATATATGCATGGTGACGCTAGAAGGGAGACATTAAAACGTCATTTTTTCCTAAAAAATATTTTTGAATAAAGAAAAAAATAATTTTTATGTATGAGTAGAGCCCTGCAACAGGTAGCCGTATACTTAGTCGACCCATATAAAAAGTGTCCGTTACAAAGAGAATAGAACGTGTGGAAACAGAAATATGAGACTTAATCTCGTAAAGCCACGATTAGACTCGTACTGTTGGATAACATCTTCGAGACTAAAAGCCATTGAAACTTCGGAGACATGTCATAAACTTTGAAATTCTGTTTTGAATAAAAAAACCTATGCCACTTCTGTTCTCTTTGTACAGAAGAATTCCTAAACTAAAAACAATTTTTCTCTTGTTAATAAATTAACATTAATCTAGGGTCTTTGCTTAGATCACCTGTTTAACACCTTTGTAACAATTTGTGTTGCTATATTAACAGAAGAGTGCAAAATCTTTTTTGCCATTTAATACTAACCGGTCGCTTTTCACTATTCGATGTTTTCACACGAGCTTTTCTTGATTGTGGAAAATAGTTATGAATATCGCGCGTGAAATATGCTTCTGATAATCCGATGGTATCCGCATCCATAAGTTGTGTTGTTAATGATCGTTTTAACTTCGTTTTTTTTCTATAGTTAACTGACGAATTATGGAAGTGGTTAACTACACTTTGAGCCGTAGCCGAATTAGGTGGTGCGGGGCGCTGTACGTGACTTAATTCAACTGAATCGCGTAGTGAGGGCGTGAAAGCTGGAATTACTACATCAGATACCATCTCTCCGTTTGTTTACTTTTTTTAATTAATCAAACGACTTTCATTATAACGATTTCATTCAAGACGAAGCACTAATGTTTGTCTTTGTTTCTTGATTTCGAAAATATAATATTAATAATTCAATATATGCTTCGGCAAATGAAATTAATCTAATGTATGTTCTTTTTTGCGTTTTTCACTTTTTTTTATTTTAATGTTTTGGTATTCTTATTTGTCCATCAAAACAAGAGAAAGACAAAAAAAAGTCAAACATCTCTATACCGATTATTATAACAACATCAAAGTACTGTAAATATATGACCTCGGACGATTACAATGTTTTCAAGATCCCATACTGAAAGTAGTTAGAGAAAAAGCTTGTACGCAGATCTGTACCAACAACAAAGGTTCCAATAAGCGATGGTTCAAAATATTTTGCGTTATGTTAATTATTTTTCTTGTATTTTATGTGGCTGAATGAGTCTTAATCAACCCATTTCAATAACAGATACGCCTGTGATTGCTGACCTGAATCTTACAGACCCAGTACAAAATAGTCCAAGTGTATCAGCATGAAACGTATAGCACACAACTCGGGCTCAACAATTGGTACTCAAACAAGTTGTTCATCATTCATGGCATAGACATAAATATAAATGAAATCTTTATTCATTTGCATGAAATCAAGCCGCGGCTAAGAAATTGTGTATTAGAACCAGACATACGATTAACAATAACACAAGAATAGAAATTGCAGAGTATCTTTTGAAGACTTATTGTTTTACGGCTTACAATTGCGTGTATCATGCAATGATACCGGTACTTCACTTATGTCCATTATGGAGCAACCACAACAGTTACCCACAGTAGGTAATAGGATATCTGTTTTTGACAAGCAGGTACTAACGCCATACTTCCTTCTCCAGTTTGTCTCTTCTTTTATTATACGTATCTCTAGACAATAGAACAAAATACCTCAATAGCTGATCAAGAAGTACCACTAATCACGTCTAGTTCTCATCTTGCTGTTTCAATAATACAGCCGTAGCTCGAAGTTCAGCAATAGTATACTATTCAACCACAGCAATCACATGTATTAAATATGCACAACATACTGGATCTACATAGAATACAATCGAAAGACTTATATTGGATAAAAAATATAAAATGTTTAAGAGTCTATTTGAATGTTTTAACAGAGGAAACTAAATTGTCAGTAGCTTTATCATCTAAAAAGCCCAGACCCATTCTAACGGTCAAACTATTAGAAATCCATAGTAACAAACGTGCTCATACATCATACGTTCGTTAATGTAAAACTAATAAAACCTGTTCAATTAATATATAACGTACTGTATGACATACTGAAACTGAGTCTGCGGAGGAGTCATTTGTTTATTAGAACTTAAGTTTCCTTTCCGAGAGAACGATACAATAAAAGGAACGTATTATAAATGGATGGATGATACTGAAGATAATAATCATTCCGTACATGTTCAGTCCAAGATAACTGTTGAAGTTGATCAAACATTACGTAATGAACTCAATGCGATATAATTGATTAAACAGATATAATATTTACTGTTATCAAAATAAAAAAGTTTTTTCTCTAAAAGTAATTATAGAAGAATGATTGACAAGAAAATTCGACAAAAAAGAGATTTAAGAGTAAAATTCAATCATCTTGTACTAAATTACTGTTCTGACATGGTCTACTTGATGAAGAGTGTCTTTGAAATAAAATATGTGGCAATCGCAATGACAACTTGTCTGTTTACGATTAACAATCACTCTGTTAACATTTAATTGTAGAATGTAAATTTTTTCATCAAAGTAGAAAAATAAATTATGTCAAGAAAACAAGATAAAAGATTTTGGGATTCGAATCATGCAAATACTTTACAAATCGATTGCGAAAAATAAATTAAAGAACAAAAATCTGACAATGATCTTATCCATTTGTTCATATACAAAATTATGAAATAAGTTTAAATTTTTTTTTTAAATGTCCACAATGAATCTAACTGATTGAAAGGATCAGCCAAATCTTTTTTATTCAACGATGATGACTGTCGACGAAAATCATCTTTTGTAATATGCTGACGAATGCAACTTTCTTCCGGTCGTAAATTAAAATTTTCTTCTATCGATGTTAGTAAACGGGTAGTTCGATCTTGTGTTGACGATGTTTCGTTTAGTGAATGATTTTCTTCGGATACGGTATCATTTGTTATATTACTACTAATATGATCAATACTAGTCTCGTCTCGAACTGGACCAATATCGTAGTTTACCTCTGATATTTGACCAGATTTATCGCTATCTAAAAAAAAAGACACATGTGTACATCATTTAATAGAAGAAAAGCATTGTGTGTTTTGTTCAATACTAAAAGCTCAAATTTATCAATTGATGCTGTATTTTTGTTAACAAAAAAAGATATTTTAAATTTACTTTTGCCATTGTCTTGTTCTCCTGGTGATGTTACGGTTGTAGTAGTTATTATCGTCGATTTTTGTCTTGCTTTTTCAAGTAATGCTTGCATTTCACTAATAGGCGTCTGTCCGAGAATGAAATTAGTTGGCGAATAATGTTGTGTTTTCGTTTCTTTGTTCAACATATGAGTGGTTGAAGAGTTTGTTAATACACCACCTATAACAAAAACTAAGTAAAGTAATCAAACATTTTTCAATATTTTTATCATTCCAAAGGACGAAGAAAATTTTTTTTTCCACTCACGTTTAACAAGTTTATCTTCTACATAACAGCAAAATGCTTCATAACAAAACTTTAAATGGATAATTTCTTGAATCATAAATCGTCTTTTTGATCGTAATAAACGCACTATTTTTGTAATATCAGGAAATGATCTACCCTCATCAATATCTTGTATACATGTAAACAAAACTAAAAACGCTCCCGTTCGTGATACACTATTTCTAAAGAAACAAAACTTTAAATCAAAACGATAAAAACAATATTTAAAAAATACTTACAAACATGTCACTAATATTGTCGATCTTGTATTACGTGTCTGTAATAAAAAATATTGTACTTCTTTAATGAAACGTAAGAATTCTGATGGATTATCAGGCATTTCTCTATTATAAGAAAAATATAAAGATTAAATCAAGTATACACACATATGAGAGTAATGTTACTTAATAGGCCAGTCAACATGTTCAAGCCAAATAACAGTTCGTGACTGATTTGTCTAAAATACTAGTCGTCAATATCGTTTAGATGTACACATTTTAGATTAGATGGTACCTGTGAATTTTGTATACGAATAATTTTATGTTGTGAATATTGTGTATTCTTTGTACTAAGCAAACTAATTGTTATAAACTTTAGTTTTATTTCTTCTCCCACTTTCTGAGGACATACATTCTAAATAAGAAATATAATCTAATTAAATATCTGCATTTATTTTTAGAAAATTCGACAAACCTTATCAATTTCTTCAAGGCGTAGTAATACAACGACAATAGCTATTTGTTGTTCACAAATCATTGTCCAAAAATCACTGATTGAATTTGATAGTGGATATTGTGCACTAATAAAACATGGGCCATTGTCGCGAATGCGCTAGCAATTAAAAGGAAATGAAATATAAATATATTCATGGAAGAATTGTATAACTTACCCCAATCATACTTGCATTGATATAATCGTTCGAATGTTTGTTATTCGTCTTCGATTTCAACTCTATACGATTGTTATCATCTGTTAAATAAAGAAAAATAAAAACTAGAAAAAGTCGATTTATTGATATACCATACATGGTAATACATCTTGATAACGATTTTTGTTCGGATAACATTTACCAGTAGCAGACGTAAAGCAAGACACATCTTTTTCTTGAAAATCAGCTAGTTCCTAGAAAAACATACACACATATACATACAAGTTATCATTACAATAATGAAAAACATTAAATTACCTTCCATTCAATTTCAAGTGGTATTGTTCCATTTAACGTCTTTTTTGTTAATTGATCAACTTGTTTTTCAAATCGACATACATCTGTTACCAATTGATCCAGTTTATCTTTATCATCATATGGATCTTGTTGAGTAGTTATTGATGATGATACTTTTTCATTTTGAGGTGAAGATTCTGAAACAATTAATGGATGCTCGATTGTTGATTCTGTTGACCACGGCTGGATGCATGCTGTTGGTTTCCCATTAATTTGTATTTGTTTTATATACGATGTGTCAACATCATTAGGTATTTGAGATGTTTCCGCAATGGTTGCCGTTGATGATGGTAGAACAGGAGAAGATATCTGTTCATTCATATCCAACGATAAAAGATCATCAGCAATTTTAAACTGAGTATCCGATAGTTCATTTTTGTTTGTTTTAGAAACATTCGAATACTGATTAGAATTTATTGATAAATTAGACATATGAGGCACTACATTAGTAGACGAAGAAGGTAAAACGGCATTAAAATTAGTGTCATTATTGTTATTATAAGTGTAAAAACCAGAAGGAGGTTGTGATTGCGGCTGCGTTGAATAATATTGTTGTGGGTATTGCACAAATTGATTAGTATTATTCGGAAATGAGGAATTATTATTTACTGATGACGATGGTAGCATCCCTGAACTACTCGGAGGAAAAACGCTTGGCCGATAAACATCTTCTGGTTTTATTCCTGGTATTCGATTAACATTTTGTTCTGGCTGTTGTGATTGCATCGGATATTGCACTGTTGAAGAAACATGTGATTGTGGTTGATAAGTTTGTGATTTCGGTATTTCATAAGAGCCAACAGGTTGTGGTCGATACGGATCGAATTTGGGCTGTGAAGTTGGATTAGAGACAGGTTGGTATTGTTGCTGATGTGAAGATTCAGGCGGCATCGAAATAGGCATTGTATACTGACTAGTTGGTGGATTATTAATTGAACTGAAAGGTTGTTGAAACATCGGTGCTATGACTTGTTGAGGATGATGCGTCGGTGCTATGGCTTGTTGAGAATGATGCGTTGGTGCTATGACTTGCTGAGGATGATGAGTCGGTACAATAGGACTCACTGGCTGGTACTGAACCGTCGACGATGGAGTAAAGTGTTGTTGTTGCTGTGCTGATGGTGGATACTGACTGTAAAGTGATTCTTGTTTTATGTGTGGTTGTTGGTGAATAAAGGATGCTGGTTGTTGATCTGCGTATTGATTAAATTGAGGCTGCAGATGTATCGGATTATTATTTGCATGAGGTGGTTGCTGAATGAAGTTTTGTTGTGGTTGTTGAAATTGTGACTGGCTCATATTCGTTTGTGGAATGAACGAAGACTGTGATTGTTCATATTGATTCACATTTGGCTGATGCGACGTCGAATTTAAATGGAATGTTTTAGTGGTATTCGGCGATGGCAGCTGATGTTGCCATTGAGGTTGTTGTTGTACTGTGTTTGATTGAGAACGTGCCGTGGATGTAATGCCCTGTGATCGCTCGGGCTGGTTTTGTGGAGTAAACGGATAGTCTAATGATGGATGTTGCTGGAGTTGTGGTTGTTGAGTCTCGTAATAATTCGTCGAAGGTATGGAAGCATCTTGAAGAGCATAAGTACGATCAGATGCTGGCAACTGTTTTCTTCGACCAGTATTAGATTTTCCCCAAGTTTCTGGTTTCATCACTGCTAAATAATCTTTGAGACGTGGACGATCGGGCAATGTTGATATTGACGGTGATACTGGTGTTAATGGGGATATACTCCGAAATTCTCCGTCGATTATTTCTTGATTTGTCCGTGCTGGCACAGATGTTCGAGGCAATTGTATACGCGATGGTGTTATCGGTGATTGTTGTTTTTGCATTATCTGTTGTAGGGCTGAAAAACGTTCATTCAGTTTCTCTAAATTACCAGCTAATTTCTTATAAAATTCAATGCCTTCATTTGCTTTTGTTGTTACTTCTGGAAATGATTTAAATGAATGGATATAGTCATTGATTAGCTTTGTTCGGCTACAACACAAAACTATGTGATTATTACTATCTGATACTAATATAAAGAAACACACAAAATAAAATAAAACATACGTTTCGCTTTTAGCTGCAATTTTTGATCGAACTTCTGCAAAGTCTGCATTTGCTTCGGTTAACATCTGTAAAATGTTTGCTTGAGCTGTACAATTTTGTTTGATTATATTAACGAGTTCTTCATGTTTTTTCAATTGTTCCATAAACAAATTCTTGAATATAATGATTGAAATCAATTTAAAAAAAAGTAGTGTCAAGTATATTTACCTTGTGACTATCTTGTCGATGCATAATAACTAATGTTGTAATATCATCGTCCTGGATTCTTTTCCGAAAATCATTCATCAGCTGTTCACGCTGTTTACGCATAACATCAACTTTTTCTACTAATGTTTTCAAACGACTAATTTTTGGTTTATTATTCTCATCTAAAATATACAGAGCGGATAAAATTCATTATAGAATTACTGATTTTTATATCTCTTTTACCATCAAGTTCAGCAATCGTTGGCAGTGTCTTCATCAATTGATCGAGTGGTGAACCTAATAATTTCAAATGTTCGCTTAAAGTAACCATTCGTTTATGTAATTCGGCATTATTTTCATTAGCACGTGCCAATGAGTCGATTGTTGTTTTCACATTTAGTTGTAAATTTTTTAATTCTTTGTTTTGTTTCACTAGCTAAAAATGTAATATTCCATAGAACATTTATCTAATAAATTCAAAAAGAAATGTACATCATTTCCATTCTCTTCAAAATTTTGTAAATTCTGTTCAAAATCTGTCGACTGTTCTTCTAGGTCATGATGTAAACTATTTAATTCTAAACATAAAAGACAACTATAAATGAGACTTACGTTAGACAATGATAAATGAATACTTACGTTGCATTAATAATGCCAAATCTTTTGGCATACTTGGTCGACTACCAACGGCAGCACAACAATCGAGTAAATCACGAGGTAAACGTAAATATTCCTGATCCAGTGGTACTCGATCCATTTGTAAACAAAGTAAGAATGTTCTAAACCAAAACAAAGAAAATCATCTTTGTTTGTATATGTGTACTCAGCTTATAATATTTACTCTAATTCTCGATTTTTATTTTCAACTAATTCTACAACTTCACGTAATAATTTCGCTTTTTCTTCACTATATTCGGATGCAGCAAAATGAGTGTCCATTGGAACTAGACGTTGAAAAATATCTGGACCACACACATCTGGATCTTGAAAATCAAATGATTGTGGCTTAGCAACAATTGCACCTGAAAAAAGATCAATAAACCCGTGAAAATGATGAGTTCTTCTATGCAATCTATAAGTTAATCTACCTTGCACAGCAGTTAAGCTAGATAATGTTGGAACTTTTTCAAAGAAAACAGAATCGTTATCTCGTTTAGCCGATTTATATCTAAATGAAAATAAATCATAAGGATTTTTAAACTACCAGAGAAAAATACTGAACTTACTTTCCAACAAGAACATCTGTTGTGAACGTACAACTTTCTTGAAATGGTTGAACTTTATCATTCGAAATCTTAATTAAAACAAAATTTTGATAAATGTATAAAGGTCCTGTCACTAGAATATGCTGTTTCTTAATATTACGAGAATCTCACTAATACCTTTGCAGCATTTTTCCATGCTTCTTTCAGGCGTTCCACAGCAGCCTCATAATAACAGACCGCTTCTCCACGTTTTTTATTGTCTTCTGCAGTGATACCGCAGTAAAAATATGTCATTGCAAGATAATATGACAACTTGTATGTCACTGATGTACGCCATTCCTAAAAGTAAATAAAATACAAAAAATTTCTCACAAAATAGATTTTTCTTGATTTTATCATAAATCTATTTATTTCAATATAATTTAGACATGAACTGTTATTTTGTGACAAACATTGCTCTAGAATGATTATTATAGTCAAAAAATACTCAATAAAAAAAAACTTTAGTTACGCTCGCCACCCTCCACCCAAACTACTATCGAAAACACTACACTCATTTCCCATTATCCAAACAAGAGCATGCTTTGCATATTTTAGTGTACTTTTTTCATACTTTAAATTTTTTTGATACAAGAGAATTGATGCCCGGTTTTGTTAAATTAACTAAGGCCATTTGATAATATTCTGATATTTGCATGGCAACATGTGCATTGACTGATGCTGGTCGCTCATCGAGTAATGATTTTTCTAAAACTGTTTCATGTGCTTGTGCCTTTAATAAATATAACATTAAATTAAATTTAAACTGTCTTGATCGTCTACAATTACCATTAAAACATAGAATTGATATGTTAATAAATCAGGATTTAAATCTGATGTATATGCTGTATATTGATCACGAACGGTCTGATATGCCCATGCAGCACAACGATAATATGTACAGGAATTTTTGATACTCTGAAAGATGAAGAATAGATTGTGGCAACTCGTATTCTAAGAAATGAAAGATCAAACTTTACATCATGAGTTTTTCTTGATTCTCGTGCCGCCAAATGAGTATATATTGCACCAATATTATATAAAATAGCAGATTCTTCAAATCGAATATCATTAAACGAACTGTCGTCTTTTTGATAAGCATCCTCCCTAGAGAACATATCGGCAATGTGACCTAGACACAAATTTTTTATACTAAAGATAATACCATGTAAATCGAACAGCACATTCGGTTTCAGGTAACATTGGAAATCGGTTACGTAGTAATCGTAATTGACAATAATACTTTTTCAAAATTTGCACACCAACTTGATCAGCCGACGCATTGACAACATTCTATAAAACAAAAAACACTTTCATTTCATTACAAGTGAAAGTTTTCTAGGTTGTATTTACCTGACGAAGACGGTTAATTTGTTCACATTCACTCGAATATTTATCACCACTTTCTTGATAATTCGAAGAAATAAACTACAAAAATGAATATAAATCAGATATTTAAATTACTTTTAATCAGAGAAAAGTAATTATTTACACTAGGAATTTTTTCGCATAAATTAATCGATTCCACACATGATTTTAAATCGAAACTTAACATTGGCAATCTTGGACAGCCTTCCATTTTTGAAGAAAAAGCTGAAGACAAAAAATCTAAAACATTGAGAAAGTATCAAAATAGACCGTTGGGCTTTGTTCACAGGGCACATTTCGCCTTATTACAATCCTTGGCTAGCGAAGGGAGTTCTGAAATGTCATTCTTCACATGCTCAATTAGATTGATAGGTGATTAGATGAAAAACATGTGTCTATTTCGTGCACCTTTTAGTAAGATGAATTCATTTAAATTGGATTTTAACAAAAACTACTCCACATCAGAGAGGCACTTTAATGGTGGACCTTTCGATAATTAATCGTAGCTCATCCCAAAATATGAGAACAAGAAATGAAATCAGATTTTTTTTGTTCGTGAAATAAACACATCTTTTGCATTTGATCACATACCAAATGATTATGAATTATCCTCATACCGGAGTTGGGTTTCTTTCTTGCATATAAATAATGTAAATGTAAATGAATCAACAGCTATCACATCGGCTCATAAGTAGAACAGGAGTTGGACCGAGTTGTTTAAACTTCTTTAAGTAACTAAGAGAACTAGCAAGTGGACAAATCGAGCACTTAAACTAACTTAACAACTAATCGCGCTCACACAATACAGATTTTATATTTACTCTGCAAGCGAGACGTTGAATATAAATGCAACAGAGTTTTAGAAAAAAAACGATAAGCGCTGTGACTCATATTTTTGAGAGAGAAGAATGGTCACATCTGACCCATTGAAAAATGTCTTTTTTCTTCTTAGTAATGCATTTCCATTAGGTATAAGGTCAAGATAAGTTTACATTAAAATTTCGTTCACTAAGCGCCAGTATCAATGTGATTTAAGTTCATACTGGCACTTAATGACAGAAATTTTAATGAAAGCTTATCTTGACCCAGCTATAACTATAACTAAAGTTTACCATTAGATCCTTTTACTAACCAATAAGTGAATAGTTATTACGCTTTAACTTCGAAGATTTTAATTCTTTTTGATTCGTTGTTTTCTTTTAGCTCCCAATAGAAGCCCGCAGGAGAGACTATCTACGTCAAGCTGCATTGATCTTGGTTCCTTGGAACTTAAAGGAATCACCGTAGAACAGACAAATAGAGTAAACAATCTCTGTCATTAACTCTTTTTTTAGCTGATCCAGTTGTGTTTGTCTCTTAGTCTATGTGTTCGCTTGCTAAGTTAACTTAAGCAATATTTAGTTAAAGATTTAAATTATCTCATATTTTTAGTAGGGAAAAATTAGCTCCAATTTTGACAGTAATAAGAGAGAGCAGAGGTTAATAATCATCTTCAACGAAGAGTATTAACTCTCTTTGTCCTGAAGTCATTTTATGTTTTTGCAAGGACAATTTCGAATTTTGAAGTATCGGATCATTTTACAGATTTGTTAGCTGTTAAAATGTTCCCTTCGACATCAACATCATCAACAAAATTTCTTACACATTTCCGTAATTTACAAACTGGCGATGATAAACCCGGTGCATCAGAAACATTGGCCTATCTGAATGGTAAATTTTACTTCAGGCGATTTTTTACTAATACACGAAAATGTTTAAAAAAGATTATTTTCTTAGGTGATCTATCATTTGAAGAATTCGAAAAATATGTTCGTGATAGTAATACGGATTTTTCATTCATCAACGTTGGTAAATCCCTAGAAGCCAAAGATCCAAAAGAACCAGTAAAAATTGATCTTGATGAATTAATTGACGAATTAAGTGATATTAGCGATTTAAGTGGATTCAGTTCAACAGCCGAAGAAAGTTCAAACGACGATGATAATGATAAGAATACATCATTATTGAAAAATACAAGGAATAACAAAACGAAACGTAAAAAAATAGAAATAGATGACAGTGATGAAGAAAGCAGCAATCAAAATTCTAATGATAAGAACAGCGATACGAGAAAAAGACAAAAAAAAGTGTCAAATACAAGTTCAACGGATCTGAGAGATCGTATTGTACAGCATTTAGAACAAATTGAATTAGAAAAAAAGAAGAAAAAGCGTGGTAGAAAGAAAAGTAAGTAACAGAGAAGAAGTAAATAATGAAATGTTTATTTTTTACTTCTGGCAGTTATTCAATTCCTTTTTTATTACAATCTATAAAAAAACTTTATTTGAACTCTCGCTACTTTTCTTTGTTTTCTATCTAGACAATCGACAATCATCGACAACACAAGCAGCGCATTTGAAATCAACAAAAGTATGCACGATGCACTAATTAACAGAGTTTCGTATTTGAAATAAAAAATTTTCATTAAGGTATCGGATAAAACTCCCAGAAGTCGTTTAACACAAGAATATCAATCACTGATGGGTGAAGCAAATATGGCGTATGCACATGGTGATGTAGAAAAAGCAGTCAAAATTTGTCAGGAAGTCATTCTTAAAGGTAATTGAGTAATGTTTATCGTCTCTTGATGGCAAAGAAACATAAAATAGAAACGTGAATTAGAAAGAACTTTTGTCTTTCATCTAATTTATATTGCATCATTTTGAAATTATTTTAGCGTGAGTATAAGAATTCAATGAAATATTAATCCTTTCTTGTTCATTTTCGTATTAAAACATATTTTGTTTTTCATTCTAGCTCCTCATGCTTCTGAACCGTATATGACAATTGCCACTATTTATGAAGATCAAAATGATCTAGAAAAAGCGTTTGAAGTAAATCAACAATAACAATATTTTCATACTAGAATATCTTAAATTGTTTTTGTTCTTTAGATGAATTTTATTGCTGCACATTGTCTTCGAAAAAAAGAATTTTGGCTTCAAATGTTAGGTGAATGTCAAAAACGTAAACGTCAAGATTTAATCGGCACTTGTTTAACTAACAGTAAGTTGGCAAATAATAACCTTTTTACGTTAAAGTATTAATCATTAGCCGTTCAGAAAGGATTAGTAAAGAGATCTTATTCATATCAAATTACGTATGTTATTGTTATTTTATATGTGTGTGTGAATGAGGCAAGGTTCTTTAGTGTCTTGTACTAGCTTTTTTGCTATTTGTGTATGCTCATGATCTTTGATCGAAATAAATAAGACTAAGTAACTTCCCTCATTTATCATTTGTTGACAATCTTCTCTACGTAGAAATTAGAGTCCCCGAGTCCGTAAGCCGGAGCTCGAACACAAAAATTTTTGTTCTGTCCCATAAGACCGAGCCCGTGAGCAAATAATGTTGTCCCAAACCCGTGTGTCTCGTGGAAAAAATTTACGAGCTTTTTTGTACCGTCCCGTTTGTCCAGTAATTTTTGGAAAAATTTTGCCTGTTGAAATAAACCGTAACTATCTATTACAAGAGACGCTTAAAGTCTCAAACTTATTGCAAAATCTACATGACAGAATTTAAGCCTAATTTATTTGATTCTAAAGTTAAAAGTTTCTGTTTAAAAAAATATTTTATATCCACTTACGAGCTCAGAATCGAAAAAAACAAGAACTGTAGACCGAGTTTTAGATATGAAACATCTCAAGTTTAAATCCAAACTATTTCGCCTCTCCAGGTTAATGTTTATTAGCTATTATAAAATTACGGTTTTGATTTGATATATTACAAGAATTAAACAATTGAAGTTGCAGTATAATTACGATCAAAAGACAAAACTTACAGAACAACATTTTTCTGCGATTTGTCCCGAGCCTGTGAAGTTATTTTGTGTTCCGAGCCCGTCTATCCCGCGCGATGGGATTCGGGGCTGTCCTGCAAGACTCTAATAAAAATACGATTATACGCCAGAATTACCATATACACACTAATTCTTACGCATAGTGCAACGTAATACTGTCAGACGCATGAAGTTTTTTTTCTTAGTATTTATTTAAAAGCTATTGAAAAACATAAGTATAACATCCGAGTAATTCTTGTTGAATGTCATGTGCTAAAATTTTTATACTGATCAATCAGATGTTGATGCCGAGATAAAATGAAAACAGTGGATAATGAGTTGTATCTTTTGACACTTCTATATCTCATTACACAGATTTATTTTCGTTGTTGGTAATCTTTTCAACACAGTAATTGTAGAAATTCTTTATATTTGTTTTTTTCAAGAAATCTTCATGCTTTAACCTCTAAGACCTTGGGTTTTTTCAATCGATTTCTGATGAACTCATCATGCTAATATGACTTTTTGGATCATGATTTGACTAAATGATGATAAAAAATAAAAAGAATATTTGCTTTTTAAAAAAGCTAGATTTTTTTTATCTCAAGTTTTAATTTAAAATTTGAAAGAAAGACATATTTTGTAACTAGTGATTAAAAATCATGGATCAGACATATATAAACGCGAGCTATTAGTTTTGGAGAATTATAGATGAAAAATTAGTTTAGATGGTGTGGGAAAAAACAGTCAATCAAGACAAGAGATGTGAAAATCCAGCAAAATAGGCCTTTCTGAAATGTATCATCAGTAGCCCATCTACTCCGTTATTCGACCCTTGAATGGACTTATCCGAGGAAAGAACACGCTCTTTTAACTTTCTAAGAAGATACAGAAAAACAAATTTTCTCTGACAGCTCGAGAAACAGAAAAAAAATTATTTGTACGCACAGGTTATACCAATGCTTGACGGGAAGAATATTGAGCTTTAAAAGGTTAATAAAGCTGTTTTTGTATAATTATTAGGAAAATAAATGTCGTTTTCCACTACGTTTGACAACAGTAGAAAAACATTCAGTTTAGGTTTTTAATCCGAAAGAACAGTTTTGTTTTAGACTAAACTTACAATGAAACGTGAATATAACTGTAGACTCCTCTGATATTACAATACTCGTATTACAACACTATTGTTAATAAATCTCAGTGCTGATTTGACAGAATTCGTAGGAACGAGTATCCCTCTTGTAAACACGAATAGTCTGAAACAGTCTTCTGATTATTATAAGCATAAATATAAACATACATTCCATAAGTGATTTAATATACAAATAACCAATCATTAAATTCGATTTGACAGTATAATCATTCGAGAATGGATCATCGATATAATATAGACATTTAGGCAAGCTGAATACATAACTTAAGTCGAGAGAAATAAAATCACCGGTAGAGAATATGAGATACAAAATATCTTTCAAAATCTTGTAAAATTTTCTTTACTTATCAGTTCATTTTCATACGTATGTTGATTATAATTTATATAGGGCAATGCAATCCATCTTAATGTTTCACCACCAAATGCAAATAATGATTTTCCACTAGTTGATGAATGATTGTTTTTTTGATCTGTAGTTGATTCATTGAATTTACGTTCTTTTTGCTTGTTTTGTTTTTTTCTCAATGTTTTGTAGATAGATTTCCATTTAAAACAATTATTAATTGGTGATGATACTATCGAACCATAATCACTGTTTGTTGAGTGTAATTGAATATTTTCAACATTTTCTAATATTTGTTTGAGTGTATAATTTTTTGAACGAGACAGCGCTAATGGACGATTACTATTTGAGCAGGTGACACTACTTGGTTTCATAATACTACTATTAGCAGATACAATTTTAGAAATACGACTTCTATTCGATGATTGTTCTTTATTGTCCGATTTTATTTCTGTTCGTATTAAATGTCGATCATTAAATAGATGATCGTATAGATCCTTAGCATTTTCATCTAAAAGAATTTTGTTCGACTGAACATCGTCTTTTATGAAAACGTAGTTTAATGATTGATTATTACTGCTCATTTGTATTTGATAACTCCTTGACGGAATTGGTGACGGAATTAAAAGACTATTTTCATACATGGGTGTTGATGTGAAGAATTGTTTTGATGATAATGAGCATGGTGTTTTATAGACATTGAAGTAAATATCCACACACGGATGAGAATTACCAACTCGAACATGAACCATACTGAAAAATATTTAAAAAAAAAGTAAGACATTTTTTATTCAAACTTAAAACTTTAAGTAGAGATTACTCACTTAATGTTATCAATTATCTTGCTAGATATAGATAAACTAAGACATCAAGAATTTTTAGAATAGAATGAAAAAATTACAGACTTTTTATTTATCTGGACAGGTGTTTATGAATGAAGAAGGAAATATAATAATTGGCATGAACGAAAAAGAGAGAGAGAGAGAGAACATGTGTCTATCTGTATTGGGCATACTATCACATATAAAAAAAGGAAAAAATTAAATAAAAAATCTCATTTATTCATACAGAATGAATATCGAAATAGATACTATAGAAACATATCAGATAGATGATTTGAGATTATAATCATTTTATCAACACTATTGTTTCAATGGTTTAGGGGATGGCGTAACCAGGGGTGGCTTTAGCGGTGGGGGTACCCCCCCTCCCCCCCAATAACTGAAAATAAGTTTTTTTTCACCAGCCAAATGAAAAAAAAGTGGAGAAAAAGCTCGCGCAGCGAAAAGTTTTGAGTAAATCTCCCCAAAAAAAGCAGTTTAATTTTTGGAGAAACTCGTTAAAAATATTTTGCGAACGATAACGCATGTGTTCACAGATAAAAGTGAATGTGTTGTTTTATTTATTCATTTTATCGTCCGATATTAAATAGATCCATTTTCTCGTCCGATATTAAATAGATCCATTTTCTCATTATCCTGATTCAATGAGCAAACAAATTTTAAATTCTTTCATTACATGTTTTGAATAATTCATCTAGAATGCTGTTAATAGTAAATAAACTTTTGTAGTTTCTTATCAATTGTACACATAAAATAAATGTTAACTGTTGATTTTCTCATATGAATAAAATGATGAGAAATAATATTTATATTTTTTACCTTCATTTTTCAACTGATAATACTATATTTGAGAATAGTTTCGCTCTTGTTAGTCTCCAATTATATATGTTTCTGTTTTTCTCTGTACTGTTTTCTAAGCCATGCTGAGATTTTTAGATCACGATTGTTGATGTCTATTTCTGCTGTGTCTTAGATGATCTTACTCAGTATGACCTGACACATATTTCATTTAAGAAAATAAACAAATAATTTAAACTCAAAGAATAGTATAAACGATTTAGAATTTATTTCTATCAATAATAATGTACATGTGAAGAGTTTGATTATTTAAAAAACGAGTGTCATGTTGATTTGAAAGTGTGTACGTACTCTGTAAAGGGAAATGCGTAATTGAAGGAGAGAATAATATAATTTGTGCTAAGTTTTAATTTAAAAAAAAATATATACATTTATCCTATGCAAGAAATTCTTGAAATATGTGAATAATGTTTTTTATTTCTATTTTCGATTGTATGATCACTGATATTTCAAAGTAGTTCAAAGGATATGTTAGATGTGTGAGATGCCTGATTCAGTTTTTTTGTTATTTTGTGAAAACATTTTTTTGTCATTGTTAATCATCAAACTATGTTTTCTGTAAAATATTTACTCTAACATATTACTCTATGGGAATTCTTGACTAGATGAATTCTCGAGTAATAGTAACAAGTTTTTCAAGAGCAGCGTGACTCAGTCGGCTAGTGGGCGGACAACACGTACTTCAAACATACGGAATTCGAATCCCAGCAACGGTCGCGTGATAGTCTTGGACAAGCTATCTAATGCTCATTGTCACGGTACCTTTGGACACAGATGCAATGAGGTAACCCAATTTCAATACATTCGACTGAAGAGATGAGACTTAAAGTTTAAAAAAAAACAAGTTTTTCTAATTACTATGTCTTTATCGTCAAATTATTTTTATGAAAGTTGACGTATCGACTAACATCTCTACGCACTACGGAACTGAATGACAAAATATATTTCTTAAAAGCACTTGTCATATTACAAAACACATGTCGCAATTACATTCACTGTCACTTTAAGTATGTAATAATGACTCTAAGACAAATGTGTACAAGTAAAACAATTAAGATTTCAATGACGTCCTAAAAGTGAAATAGTTTAGTAACTACGGACATGCGCTTAAAAGATTGTCTATTTCAATAATGAGGCTAGATGTTTAATGGGAATCATATAAGTTTGTGTAAAACGAAGAATAGAGAAAGTATAACATATTTTGAGTAGGATACCGTATAAAATTTCCAGTTAGATTATTTTCTAGACTGTGTATAACAATTCGCTTCTAATTACAACTATCTTAATTATTTCTAGAGAGAAAAAACGTTATTCTAGTTTTTATGTAATAAAATAATAAAGTTTATTAAAAATAAAAAAGTTTTTGTTCAATTTTTTTGATAACAGTCGCTGTATTTAGCCTACATATGAGTGTACTAGACGAACAGATTATCTAATAATCTAACGATTATTCTCATCACACATTATCAACGACTACAATTAATTCTCTGTAACAGTTCATTAAATTCGATTAAGCATATATATGTATTTTTTCTGTTTATTTAGTATTGTTCACACTAGTTCATTATTGTGTAATCGTCATCGTACTATTTTCACTAAGCAAAACGTAAAATGTTTCGCTATGGGAACTTTTGACTTGATTAACGCTGGAAAACACATACTGTGCATAATTACCTACTGATATGTACTCATGACGAAAATCTACTACTTGTATTTTTCAAAATAAGATTTAACCACGTACTGTAACAGTCATCATTTTAAAACCATTCTTGTTACATTCGATAAAAACACTGTATTCATTGTCCACTTCACAAATTGTTCATTTAACTATTTTTAACCACATTTCACCTGTCTCTTTTCAAGTAGATAACGGATGATGATAAAATCAAACATCAATCATTCTTACGTACTTATTGCAGACAGCTGGAACTATACGATTAATAACAAACTACAGATCAAAGAAAAATTTGATTTATACTTTATAATATGTTGAATGTGCGTCGGTTAAACAGGATCGTGGTTATGGTTACTTCTTAATTGAGACCACTATTTTTCGCCCTCAATCTCACTTGGTTTTCCGCCCTCTTATGTTTGTCTGATGTTAATTAAAACTACTTAACTGAGATCTCTTTTTTGATAAAATATGGTCTCAATTTGGACAATTCGGTCGTTATCTCTTCATTCGATTTTTTAGCTACAAAAAAATAGTCGTACTACAAAGATACCATATTACTGGTGTTTGAAAATACCACATAGAATGCGTAGAGATGATGTTAGTTACTATTTTAAAACTTTCCCCCAAAATCAGTGTTTAGCATATGAACTAAGACAAAAGTTATTATGGCGATGCTCATATCTCCGCGAAAAACGGTTGAAAATTTCAAAGATGATCTCTTTGTAAAGAGAACACTTTTCTCTATCAAAAGTTTTGAAGGCACTGAAAACAAGAAAATTTAATCAAACTACAAAAAATTGACATTTTTCAGGCTGAAAACTGTTAAATATTTCAATAGAAGAGAAGTGCTTCTTTATACTACGAGACCTTTGTCACCATACATAATAGAAGAGTATTATCAACAGTCAAATTCACTGTTTTTATATTTATCTTTTCGTTTTTAGTTGTCAAACTCGATCCAACTGATATATCAATGCATTTGAAGCGTATTCAACACATTGAACAATATGGCATACGGAAACAGTATATATCAAGCTTAAATTCCTTATTATTGGCACTGAATCCGACCGAAAATGAAGAACAAAAGCCACTTTATCTAGAAAAATATCGAATTCTTATTCAGGTTAGTATTCGCGTCATCTTCTCCTATTTTATACATGAAATATATTTTTTACAGGAAATACTGGTGTCCGATCAAAAAGAAACAGAATTACAAGATCTTTTATATAAAGGTTTACATGATTTAGGCAAAGATTTTCCTATTGAATATATAGAGCGCCTTTTACATGTTCAATACAATATGAAATCATATCCAGAAATGATCAAAGTATATCTACAATATTTTGTGCTGACGATCAAAATGGAGATTATATTTGTTTTAGAACATGATCAATTTTACTGGTATACATCTGTTAAAATATGACACAGAATTAGAATTACCAGTTGATATTACCGATCTAGATAATCTCAAAGATGCGGAGTATGTGTTTGTTAAATAAAATAAGAAAGAACACATTCTAGAAGTCAATGTTTTTTCGGGTTTTTTTTCTAAAGTTTTTTAGTTCCTGATTTTTATCGTACTGATTATTTTGGCATGTTTCTTGTTGGTATTATTGATATGGGATGTATGACCATTGCGTTGGTATGTTATAAAACCTAGTTTTACTAGTAGACAGATAAAAATATGCGTAATAATTATTGGCTGAAGATCAATAAGTATTGTCGTCGAAATAACTTCTAAAACTAATATTTTGGATGAAATAGCCGAATAGTTTTATTCTTTTTTTCTAATATTAATGCGTATTGCTTTATCTTTTAGCGTTTATTACCATCATATATATCGATAATTCGTTCTACTGATCAACAATTATGTCTTGATTTGATGTCATCATTTTCGTCACATGGTCAATTACAATATGCTTGTCAATTATTTGAACATCTATCTTGTTTAACAAAATTATCTGCTCAAGCATGGTTCAGTTATTCTGAATGGTTAACATCTTTATCTAAATTACATGAAGCATACGATGCATTAGAACGAACATTACAACTTGATCCTCAACATAATGAAGCACGTTTATCATTATCAGCACTTCAAAAACAAATTGGACTTGATGAACAAAGTCGTCATACATTTTCTGAACTTGTACGTCCTAAAAGTGAATATTTTACTCAAAATATTCATGATGAGGATGATGATGAGGATGATGATGATGTTACAATTCATCAGCAAAATGAACTAACAACAACAACTACAACAAGTACATTACTATTGAATGATGATGATCAAGATATAACAGTTGAGAAAATTCATTTTTTAACTGAACGTTGTATAACATTGTACGATGATAATGAACTATCATCATTTATTCCAAGTGCTATGCAATTATTTTTTGGTTCTCTAAAATTTCTATTAAATATTGATATATCAAAACGTTTAATTAATTGTGGTACAAGAGCAAGACGATTAGAATTAATTCAAAAATTAGTAGATGAAAAACGTATTATTTTAAATACATCATTTACAAGAATAAATGTAATATTAAAAAATCGTATTATTGATTTATATGGAAAATTTTGTGATGTTTTAATTAAAATAAAACGTTATGATTTATTATTACAAGTATCAGCAGCTGGTACTGTTATTCCACTATTGTATGCACGTATAGATTGGTTAATTTTAACAGAATTTATTTTATTTATTAGTCTAATTTTACAGCAAAATGGTGATCTAGCATTTCAAACATGTCGTGAAATATTTCGTTATTATAGTAAATCATCTGTTATTCAAAATTTATTTGCTTTAACATCAACAATTACACCATCAATTAGAATACATAAATTTTGTATACGTTCATTACAAAAAAATCCACATTCAAAAATATTACAATATATTTTGGGAAATTTTGCACTTATTGGTGGTACCTATCGTTTAGCAATTATATATTATATGAAACTTTATAAAACTATCCCGAACGAACCATTAGTATCATTATTATTATCAATTACATTTGCTCATATAACATGTCAAAAATATTCATATAATAAACATCAACGTGTACTACATTCATTAACATTTCTTAAACAATATCGAAATCTTCGAGGAGAATGTACAGAAACATTTTATAATATTGGACGTTTGATGCATTTTTTATCATTATATCATGCAGCTGCTTATTTTTATCATAAATGTCTTGAAACATCATCACCGGTAGAAAATGAAAATTATGAACAAAATGATGTATTTACATTAAAATATCATGCTGCTTATAATTTAGCATTGATATATAAACGAAGTAATAATGAAAAATTTGCAAGAAATATTATTAGAACTTATATGACAATTTAAATGAACAGTTTTTGTCGTGTTATATTTTGTAATAAATAGATTAAAGGTCTCTTTAAGAGAATTATCCGAATAGTCAAAATTGCCATACTTTTATCTATTACTTCTCTCATTTGCTTTACACCATTTTAAACTTGATTTTGTACGGATTTATCTACTTATACAAAAATACAAAGTAATGTGTGTGTACAGATTTGTTAAAAGAGATTATGTTACTATCTTTTCGGTATCTACAGAAAGCACAAGGAGACCCTTAGCATACTTGAATACATTATCAGTGAAACAAGAAACTAAAGTGATTAAAGACATCGAAAACAGTTTATCCGATAATATTTATTTATGATTAATAGCAGTTAAAGAATACGACGAATTTTTGTGCAGTCGCGCACCGATGTGTGAGTTTCTCGTTAGCAATTGAGTTTTACTTCCGCTTACAGGTTGCTAGCCTTGTAGAGCAGAAACAGGCTTGCGGCAGCCCATGGTCGCCTCCTTTGGATGTTCAGGAACACCCGCAGGCCCATGTAGAAGTCGAAACTTCCCCGCTAGGCCCAATGGAGAACTCTCCGATCCTTTCACAATTGATAACGGAGTGATGCAAGGCGGCATACCATCGTGCATTTTGTTCAACGTCTTCTTCGACTTTGTGATTCGAAAAGTTCTCGAAAAAGTGTCACTCACAGGCATACAACTGGCATTTGGGAGTCCTGATTTCTGTCATGGCGCCAGGGATTCTTATGAAACATTCGACATCCGTGAACTTCTCTATGCAGACGATCTTCTTGGTGCTTTTACATCTATATCGGACCTAGAAACGTTCGTCCTTGCTTTCGAAGAAGTCACTCAAACGTATGGATTAACAATGAGTGTAAAAAAGACGAAAATTATGTACCTTATCTAGGTTGTCTTATCTCGAGAGATCAACGAAGCGAGAAAGAGCTAGAATCCCGTCTGGCAAAAGCAACAAAAGCATTCAACATGCTACACGGTGTGATCTGGCGTAGAAAAACGGTTTTAGTTGACTCCAAGTTACGAATATTTAAGGCATGTGTGCTGCCAGTTCTCATTTATGGGAGTGAAGTCTGGTCCACAACTGTCGTTCAAGAAAGTCGTACCAAGACATTCTATATGAAGTGTCTGAGAACAATCTTAGGTCTAAACCTTGGAGACCGTGTTCCAAACGAGAAAATCTTGGATCTCTCTGGACAACCATCGATCGACCTACTTCTACGACGAAATCGTTTACGTTGGTTTGGACATGTAAATAGAATGGTCAACGTGCAGAATGAGCCTAGTCTGCTCAAGAACGTCATGTTTTCGTATTTCCCCAATGCCAAACGACCACCAAATGCTGGTACACGAAAACGATGGGAAAAGAAGATCATGGAAGATCTTGAGAAGTCTGGTGTTAAGAACTGGAGGCGCGACACACTCAACAGAGACTTGTGGAGAGATCTGATCAATGCACAAGTTCAATCTAAATCTGTTCACCCGCAACTGAAACAGCTTGTTAAGAACTACAAAGATAAAGCGGATGAACGAAGGGCTATACAAACACAAATCAGTCAAGAAAATCCACCCAAGAAAGTCATTGAAGTTCTAGTTAAAAATATGAACGGCCTGTACACGTGTCCGGATTGCAACAGAGCCTTCAAACCACAAGGAATTACCGGACATGCACGAACGTGTGCAAAGAAGTGGTGTAAAAAGAACAATATCATTGGTTGTAAATGTACGACTTCAACTCAAATTACTGTAACTTTGTGACTAGCGAAAATGAATCCTATTTAGATACGGGAACAGAGAGCTGAATTTGCCGTGTACATCTTCTGCTACATTCTACTACCTGCCTCTTTATTCATACTGATTTTTTCAAAAAATACAATTTTTTGTGTTTGGGACTCCCGCGGGACTTTTTGTGCATAACGACAATGTCTCGTACTGTACGCCGAGCTATCACTGCCAGGGCAATACTGAACTTCACTCGTCTGATGAGCTATTGGGAACAAAATGATGTTGTTTTAGTGGTCAATTAATGGATGTAATGCACATCTAATGCATAATTAATGCGTCGAAGTGTAAAACGTTTTCTTACTTAGAATAGTAGGACAAGGGATTTCCGAATCTAACAAATTTGCCTAGCCCTCTAAATTCGTCACAGTTGAATGAATTTTCTGTCTTCATAGTTTTATTCACGTTGATGTGTAGTGTGCGTTTGTATGAAAAGAACAATTTGTCGCGCACTGAAGCAAGCAACTTGTGCATATTCATCCTTACAACCAATCGAAAGAACAGACAAATATTAGATCGTATTGGCACCTGTAGTCTCCAGATCGTATTAGTATTGTACCCTCATGTGTGTTAGACAGAAATGATTGGCGCCAAATTATTTGCTTTTCTAGCATTGCTTGCCGTTCAAATTGTGGTATCAGTTACTTACAAGTTTTCGCAAACGCAAAACACATACAAATATTCTCCTATTTCTGCGATAGCTCTAGCCGAACTAATCAAACTATGTATGAGCTCTTGTTTGTTGTACTACTATGTTCCGACAGAAGAAAATCAAAGTTTAACAGGCTTCTCTCATCGAATTGCGGTGTGTCGACATTTGCTACATCGTGAATTAAATTAGCACTTTACCGCTCATACTTTTGGACTTGCTATATTGTACTGTACGAACAACCAGTTGGCTTTCGTCTTATTCTTGTACGTCGATGTCGCATCAATTTCACTATTTAAATCGTTTTCATCGTTCCAATCTGCCATCTTGCTGTGGACGTTCTTTAATCGACTGATTACTAGCCAACAGTGGGGTTCAATTCTCTTACAAGTGATCGGTTTGGTTATTGTTCAATACGATGCGTGCCAAAATATTCCGTTATTCGCCGTCAAATACTACGTCATTCTTCTCAGTAGCAGTCTCATAACTTCTATTTGCTCGGTGTGGAATGAACAGCTAGTTTAGACTCATTCAGTCAATCTGCACCTGCAAAATATGATACTATATACGTTTGGTTTTGCCTTGAATTTATGCGTATTTTTCTTTCTGCCTGATATTTACAGCCAAGGATCGAAAGGATTTTTCCAAGGTTATTCGTGGTTGGCGGTTGCCGTTGTTGCATGTAATTCGGCGCTAGGCATTGTCATCACAGCTGTTTACAAATATGCCGATGCCATTGTCAAAACCTTCAGCACAGCGTGTGCGACTGGTGTTCTTCTAGTATTAAATGTTTTTCTTTTCCACATCAGAGCGAGTTTAACACCGTTTCTAGGATCGGCTGTCATATTTACGTCCTCATATATTTATTTTGTGAGTGCCACCACATTACCTATCAGTACATCTTCAGAACCAAACTCAGTCAGAGATACTGACACATATGAAAAGATTGCGATCAAAGACAAATGTAATGAAGCATCGAGCAGCCGCTGTTTTCGCCCATCCTCTACTATTGCAATCGTTGTTTTCGGCACATCCATATCCCTGTTCGCTTTTATGTTATCGCCCACAGTTTTTCAGTCATTCAATGGGAAATACTATTCTCAATTTCCATTGCACTTCTCAGAAAACGAATCTTTAATTCATCCAAGCGTGATAAACATCAGCGAAATTCGGCTGAATCGACCAGTAAACATCTACGGAAATGATCTTTGCGAAGATCAAACTCTAAATATGACGCACATATTCATTAACTCGACTGCATGTACGCCTATCATCTTTTGTTCAGAAAAATTAATTTCATGCGGTTTCGATGAAGGTTTACAGAGGCTTCCGTCGCTGGGTATACTGAATATAACTATAACGACAATGTCTCGCACTGTACACCGAGCCATCACTGCCAGTGCAATATTAAACTTCACTTGTCTGATGAGCTATTGGGAACAAAATGATGTCGTTTTAGTAGTCCATTTCAATGATCCTCATTATCAGCGTATCCCATTTCTTTCAATCTATCGCGATATATTTCCTCTAGTCGTTTTCACGGGACCCGATGTACATCCGAATGTAATTCATTGTTCAGAAGGACGAAGGGGCTTTCATTCTTATGAATGCTTATCCCGAGCGATTGTACTCTATCCAAATCATAATAGTTACTTGATGACACATT